TCATGGCGTCTACCTCAAGAGTGGGCCAATAATAGCCCTGCCGCCTGGCTCTCTTAGCCAGGGATCTACCGCCTATATGTGATGCACAAAAACCCGCATTTAGATCCTCTAAGACTTCTCTCCCACTCTCTAGGGTAACACATTTCAAAAACGGCTGCAGGTACCCCTTTCGGAGGAGTTCCCCTTGATGCATTACAAAGCTAAGAGCTCACTTTTTAAGAACATCCACTTCTGAAGGGACATCCGGCAGAATGTCGTCTGTCAGATAAGCCTGGATGGGGTCCGTCCAGGTAAAGCTTCGGTCAAGAACTCCAATGGGATCATGTTCAATACTTCTTTTTTCCATGACCTCCCAAAAGACTGACCTAGGCGCATCACAGGAGGCGGATGATGCCAACTTGGAGAGCGCATCTGCCTGATTATTCTCGGACCGTGGCACTTGACGTAGATTGAATTCATCAAGTGTCGCAGCCTCCTCTCTGACCGCCTACAAATATTTGATCATAGCCGGATGGGTTGCTTCATAATCCCCATGGAATTGGCTGACGATCAATTGAGAATTAGAGCAGGCTACAACTTTTCTGGCCCCTGCCGCCTTGCACATGCGTATACCAGCCAGTAGGGCCTCATACTCCGCCTCATTTTTTGAGGTCTGGAACTTAAACCGTAGTGCACATTCATATTTATCCCCTTCTGGAGAATGCCAGATTACGCCTGCACCACAACCGTTCATAGTGGAGCTTCCGTCTACAAATAACTTCCAAACCTGATCCAGATTTGCCGGCTGCACCGGCCTTGTCATTTCGACAATGAAGTTGGCAAACGCCTGACCTTTCACCGCCCGCCTGAGTTCGAAAGTTATTTCCAGGCTCTGTATTTCAACAGCCCATTTGATCATTCTGTCGGATGACTCTATTGTAGTCATTGGCCGCTTCAGTGGCTGGTCAGTATACACAATCATCGGATGTGCCAAAAAGTAGGGCTTCAACCGCTTGACTGCTTTGTAAAGAGCCAGCCCAAAATTTTCAATCATTGGGTACCGGAGTTCAGTGTTTTTGAGAACATGGCTGATGAAATACACCGGGAGCTGATTGCCGCCTCTCTCAGCAAGGAGAACAGCACTAAGGGAGTGATTTGAGACGGCTAGGTACATGTAGAGATCCTCCTGGGGCAGGGGGCTCACTAGCCTTAGCAAAGAGCGCAGATGTTGCTTTAGCCTCTGAAATGCCGCCTCATCCTCTTCACCCCACTCGAATCTTGACCTCTTCCTGATTGCTTGGAATAAGTAGAGGCATTTGTCACCTGACCGGGTAAGGAACCTCCCCAATGCCGCCAGGCAGCCGGTAAGTTTCTAGACTTCCTTTACAGTCCGGGGTGACTGCATGTCAATAACCGCTTGTACTTTTTCCGGATTAGCCTCTATGCCTCTTTGATCAATCAGAAATCCGAGAAACTTCCCAGACTCAACACCAAAGACACACTTCTTGGGGTTAAGCATGACCTTGTCCCGCCTGAGGGTGGTGAAGGTTTCTCGGAGGTCAGCCAGGTGATCCGTCTGTAGCTTGGATTTGACTATCATGTCATCAATATACGCCTCTACATTCCTTCCAATTTGATTAATGAAAACTGTGTTTATCATTCGTTGGAAAGTAGCAGGCGCATTTTTCAACCCAAACGGCATCACCGTGTAACAATATAACCCTTGATCAGTGACGAAAGCTGTCTTTTCCTAATCCTTCCTCGATAGGGGAATCTGATGGAAGCCTAAGTAGGCGTCCATGAAGCTCATCGAAGCATGACCGGCTATAGAGTCGACTAAGCTGTCAATCTTTGGAAGCGGATAACTATCCTCCGGACATGCCCTGTTCAGATCTGTGTAGTTTACACACATCCGCCAGGTGCCATTTGGCTTTTTCACAAGGACAACGTTTGCTACCCAATCCGGGTAGTAGCATTGCCGAATGAACCCAGTATCTAGCAGCTTTTTGACCTCAGCGGCTGCCGCCTGAGATCTTTCCTCTCCGTGATTCCTCTTCTTTTGCCTAACCGGCTTCTTTTTGGGATCAACGACGAGTTTGTGGACAGCAAGATCCGGGCTGACGCCTGACATCTTTTCCACTTCAAAGGCAAATATGTATTTGAACTCTCTCAGCAGTTGGAGCAAGTCTGCCCCCAATTTCTCAACAGCAACCGTCCCAACCTTGACGGTTCTATCGGGCCGGCTGTCGTCTAGGACGACATCAATGCTCTCACCAGCCCGCTGAGGTCGGAGATCATCTGACCGTTCACCGGTCAGTGATTGCTATTGTTTTTCTTTTTTGACGTGTGCCAATTGGTCCGCCTTTCTATTTTTACCGGCCGCCCTTGGAGCCAACACTGCGTGCTCGCAGTTATCCAGTTCTATGAGCTCTTCGCCATGACCGGCTGAAGCCATAGTTGGTTTGACGTCTAAGAGGTAACACTCTCCAGCCGTCTTTTGGTCCCCATTCAAGGCACCGAGTGTCCCATCATCCTTCTGAAATTTGATCAGCATGAGAGACGGGATGATGACAGCCTTTGACTTGTTGAGGGTGGGGCGACCAAAAATCATATTATAGGCAGTCAGCTCCTCAACTACAAGGAACTTGACAACCATGTGCCGCCCTTGCCCCTTCTCACCCAACCGGATGGGTAGGTTAATCCTTCCCACCAGATGCACTACTCCTCCCCCAAAACCGACTAAGGGGTGAGAAGCCTCCTACATGTTGCTGGGCTTGTACTTGAGCTTTGTCAAGCACTGGTATTTGATCAGGTCAGACGAGCTTCCTGTATCAATTAAGATCCGGCCAACTCGTTGGTTGGCAACCTTGCATTCGATGACGATGGGGTCATCGTGAGGCCGTCTGACTTGGCCTCGGTCCTTTTCAGAAAGAAGGACCTCAGGAAAGGTATCTTTCGACGCATGGCCCTCATTTACAGAGTTGACCAGCTTCCTGATATTGTCCTTGGCACCCCGGATGGTAGGACCCCTACCCGCAAAACCGCCAACTATATTAAAGACTATTTCCTCGTCTGCTACAGAGTTAGCAGCAGTTGATTTGGATGGGTGTCCCTTGTTTGTCTTGGGGGCACCCTTAGACTTGGGTAAGTAGGACTTCAAAGTCCCCTCCTCAGCCAGACGGTCCAACAGCCGCTTGAGGTTATAGCAACCGTTGGTGTCATGGCCAACATCTTCATGAAATTGGTTCCCTTTTTAGGGTTAAGGTGCCACGTGTTAGTAGAGGATTGGATCCCTTTGGACCTCTCTCAGACTGACACGTGTCAGCATGCCATTGGGCCACATGGACAGGGTATTTTTACCCTAAACATATGTGTGTGTGTGTGTGTGTGTGTATACCCCTAAAATTAATTGTATACAAGTTATTGGCAAAGAACGATTGAAATTCATAAAACTAAAGAATAATGGTAAACGATTTTGATGAAAATATATCTATACAACCAAATTCACCAACCAAAACGTCCATGAATTAGCATAATGGAAAGAAAAATGGGGGACAAAGGTGATATTTCAAAGGAGATAAAAAGAAAAGAGAAGGAAAAGCCTAAATCTTAAGAATAATTAGGGTTTGATTAAAAAAGATGAGATATATCTTTCAAATAAAAAAAAGAGAGGTATAGAGATAATGTATAGACACAAGCGTTAATTTATTATTACGCCTGACTTAAACCTCTAAAACTGCTTTGAGTTGTTCTATGTTTTCGTTTTAGTTTCTCCAAAATTGCTATAAAGTTGTTTTTTTAAGTTATTATTTTTACCAAACACTAGTTTGGTTTTAGAGAGTGGTCAAGCAGGAGCAACAGGTTTGCACATGATGGCAATAGGTTGACAAAGGGTCAGCAATAGGTTGATGGAGGGAATTTAATGAAAATATGTCAACCCAATAACTTTAGGAAAAATACACATTAATAATTCTAACTATAGGCGATTTACTTCTAATAATCCTGAATAAGGTTTATTATCTAATAATCCCAACTATTTGGTCAGTTTGCCTTCAATGGTCCCAATGACCGGAACCCTGCTAAAACAATATTTTTTTTTGCTACTTTTTAAAAGCCACGTGTCAACACGTGATTAGTGTAATATTTAAATAATTTAAAAACAAAAACAATTCCCCGCCATCCCCTCCTCTTCCCCGTGAAACCATAAGCCAACCCCAGCCTATCGAAAACCGGCCGGCCACTTCCCACCTCCCTAGCCCCACAAAAACGGCCAGCCGTCCCTTCCTACCTTGAAACTCAACGTTCGACCTTCTCAATCCCAGAAACTTCGGCCGTGCAAGGGTTTCTCAATCCCGAAACTCCGACCGCACAAGGGTTTCTCAATCCCGAAACTCTGGCAGCAAGTCAGATTCCGCTCACCACCAAGGAACTCCGGCCGCAAGTCAGGTCCCGTTCGCCACCAAAGAATTCCGGCCAACAACAACAATCAACTCTCTTGCAGGTTGTTGTTGATGCTTGCGCGCCCTCATCGAGCCTGCAACGAGATTGGGTCAAAATTGGGGCTGCTCTGCGAATTGTGGATGCGATTTGTGGTAAATGGTGTTGGCCGGAATTATTGGGCTGCAATTTTGATGCGGTTTCGATGCAGTTGTGACAGTGGAGTTGACTTGGTGGCTGGAATTTGTGTGGCATCGATAGAGGGTCAAGTTGTTGTGGAGCGCTGGTGGTGTTGTTGGGATTGGGGAAGGTGGTTCAAGGGGAGTGGAGGGGCCTGGGTCAGGTTGGTACCACCGACAGCAAGTAGGTCCTCTAGCCGCTGACGAGGGTAGCGGGTGCTAGTGGGGTTGCTGCTAGCAAGGGAGGAGGTGTTTTCCTTTTTTTTTTTAATTCAGTTTTTTTTAATATGTTTTTTTTTTATTTATTTATTTTAGATCAATCACATGTTGACACGTGTTTGGTAACCTGTTATAAAGATTGTTGACTTGGTGTTGACCGATTGGGACTTTCCAACACTTTGAATAAAAGGATGTTTTTTTTTTATTTCTCCTTTCCCCATCTTTAATTTCATTCCATTTATCATGGGCAAACCAAACACCCCCTCAATATTTTTGTCAGTTATCTTATTGATCTTCAGTAGTAATTAAAAAGTATACTATAAGTAATCATATCAAGATTAATTGCACAAGTATGAGTACCTACGCTACATACTTTACAAGAACAGGATACAAATTTAGATATCAAAATTCTTTGCAATTGTACCCTGGTATACACAAAAAGAGAGTTCTGTTATATGTTCAGTGTGCAAATTCCCTCATAGATGAACATATCTTTCATTCAGCTCATCTGACAGCTTGGTGTAAGCATATAGCGAAGTTTAAGAATCATAGGCTGTAGAATCTCTTGTTCATGTTGTAGATGAACTGATAACAAAAGCCATTTACTGGAAGGTGCCGCACAGGAGCTGAAGGCCAGACAGCAAGCATTGTTCTATAAGACAATAAAGTATGGTGTGCTTGGGCTCATAGCCACCTTCAATTACTTATCACGCATTTCTCTTTTGGGAAGTAAATCAGTTTTCCAGAACCGTATCCTTAACCTTATGCCTGTACACAAAGAGACTGAGTAAATGCTTCAACAAACTACATATTAATTACATTACTTTCATTTTTCGGCAATTAAAATCAGATTAAGTTCTAAGAAATTGTGAAACCTACCATAAATTTCATGGACATAAGAAATGTTTGAAATAAAAATAAGAAAATTCAATTCTGAATGTGGTGTTCTTTACTTAGAAATAGTCAAGATTTAAGTGAGAGTTTCATTGATGTAAGATAAGAAAGATATTTTTTTTTTAAATGAGTTAGGAGTGAACAATAAAATGGAGACAAAATTCCAGCCAACCATTCTTGAGACAAGACACATCTTGCACTAACAAATATCTAGATGCCTTGGTGATACATGTCCATTTTGATAAAAGCAAACACATGTACATGACGATGGCATGATATATATTTTTTTGTCATATATTACTATCAGAGCACATTAGAAATAATTTTTTTTTAAAAAAAAAATGTGTAAGATTTGGAGTAAAAAAAAAAAAAGTACTCCTACCATTCCAATTTACTGTCATACAAAGCAACTTACTAGATCTCACTTGACTTTAAGAAATTCACAATTAACATTGTATTGGTACCTTAAACCAAAATATATTCACAAACTTTTTAAATGACAAATTATATGAAACTTAAATGGCCAATTAATTTGGTGTTGAGTACATCTTAACCATATCATGCATTATCACAAAGAGAATAAATCTGGACCCTATCAATGATTAATTAATATTTTAGAAAAGATTAAACTGTTTACTCAGGGCGCAAGAACAATACCTCTTGAATTTCTGGATAAGAATTTGAGCAGTTCATCAATTAAAATTACCTACAGCCAGTACAAATGCACTTCAGAATTAATTAAAATAGCTAAAAGAGATTATCAAATTGATTTTGGCAGAGAAGAGAAAATTGACAGAAATAGTCTCTTGCACAACCAGTGCACATTATATGTATATGTACACCAAGCATACTATTGTATGAGAATCCACTTACTTTAATTAATGCAAAACTAGGCTTGGTGCACACAGGGCAACTTTAATAGTCACTTTAAAAGGAAGTGAATAGTAATTTTACTTGTACGTGGGTAGAAACTGAATTGGATAAGATGGAGCATCACCCCCTTCAGTCTCTTGGCTTACCTTTACCCAGACATGTTTTTAAAAAAAATAATAAATAAATAAAAAGAGTAAAGAAAGAAAAAACCCTCCATCTTGCATAATGAATGCTGTTACCACTATAAAAATTAAATTGCTGGTTTTACTTCATTTGGTGAAGCTGCATCATGAAAAGTTCATATTTTGCCAGCTCCACCCCTGCCCTGCCCCACCCCCCCCCCCCCCCAACCCCCCTCTCTTGGCAAAGACCACCCTCCTCTCTTGGCAAAGACCATAGGTAAAAGCCTAAAAACTGAATTTGTCAACACTTAACAATTGAAAACCATTTACAGAGAATTTAGATGGCTAACCGGAAATGACAGATACAAAACAACTTTCCATTCAGTCCAAGATAGTGCTGTCACCTGAGATTAAGCAAAAATTGGTTACAACAAGCAGCATCAGCAAAGAGAACAAATCAATTGATGCAAATAACAGTAGTGAATTGTTAACAACTTACAGAGAACAGAGCTGATAATGGTTGAACATACAAAATTAGTATGTGAAGAAGCATGGTCAGTATGATAGAACCTACCAGCCACAAGTTAGTCCAGGGAGGTATAACACTGAAAAAGAAACCAAATCATAATGATTAGTCACCATAAAATTGTCCACAGTCTGACAATAATTACAAGGGTAGTTACCATCAATTAATCACAATACAAATGTTAAACTTTAATATAATGGCAGCAGCTGGTGAACATCCATTAAAAATGCAAAAAACATATTTACAAAGCCATATTGCTGGATGTTTGTTTTTTTTCCCTTTCTTCAACTCTTCAACTATGTTTTCTCTTTCACCCAAAAAAAGTTGCACATGATTGGGCATCCAGTAGAGTTAGATTAATTCATTTAAACAAAGAGGATCCAGAAGCTCAATAGCTATTATGGTTCAAAGGGGAGATAAGATGAGAAATAGATCAATTATGAATACCACATGATAAGAAAACAATTAGAAGTTTAGAACCTCCAACATTCTCTTGAGTCTTGACAATATATTTTCAGACAATCTGTTCTTTGTTTTCACGAGGATGATTAGGATGAAAAGCAATAACAGAATCTTTTAAAGACTTTGTAACATATCTTCCAGAGGGGGAGAGATGAGTATTCAGTGTCTCTTTTGATACATGTTCAAAAGGCCCTTCTTTGATACTTTTCACAACATTCAGAGTGAAATCTGTAACAACATTTGTTTCCAAAGGGGTGCCGGATCTCCCTCTATGGTGTGGGAAGACCAGAAACACAAATGGTAAATGAAAAAGAATAAAACTGCAATAATATTTCTTATGACATGACATGATATAATTTAGAATGATAACAACAACAAATAGAGGAAAATAAATTTAAGACAAACTAAATACTTACAGAAGAGATTGATTTTCACTCAGGTTATTTAGTGCATTGAACATCTCTACCACAACAAGTACTGTCATTGAAACAGTAGATGGATGCTGATCATCAAATATGCTGCATGGATATGTTGTCTGCCTCATATGACAAGTGTCAAAGTTCATCTGGTACAGGAAAGAGGCATTATCATGATCCCACAAAAGAATGCAAGTGAAAGCAGCAAGAATAATAACATAGACCAGAATATTATAAATGGTTATGTTGCACATAGTAACAGGGAAGGAAAAAAACAAAACAAAACAAAACCAAAAAAAAAACTGAGATATTTTATAGAGTGAATATTGTTCATTGGATAATTCAGAAATTGTACACCTAAGCTATTAGCACTAAAATAAATACGTGTGTATGGCAAAGAGATCTATCCTAATGTGAAAGCTATAACTAAACTTCTTCAGTGAGGAAAAATTCACAGATTAGGTTTTGTAATAATTGGGGCATTTATTTCATAGTTGTAATTTATGTTTTATCAAGCAATTAATTGGGGGATATTGCGCCATTTGACCGTTGAATCCTCAATAAGTTGTAATTTTAAATTTGTTTTGGTTTTTCCTCTTGTTTTCAACTCAGATAACAGAATCTGAACAGGAAGCAGGCAGGACCCCTCGCCACCACACTGCGCCCAGACACTGTTAAGCTGATTTACCAAGCAGCATGACTTGCCTAGTGCCAATGGGCACCTTGGCAACACTGTGTAAATATAAGCTTCAGTTACCAAAGAAACTGGTTCACCAGTAGAAGCATTAACACAGTCCACAAGAGAAATTGTACAGTAAGAGAACATAATGGATATCAAAGACAGTTACCAATTCACTGTACGGAAGCCTGGGTCCAGTATCAGCATAGACAAACCACCATATGAAACCCGCAACAGTGGCAAGGCCAACATACGCTGCGATAAAAATAGAAGGGAAAAAAGTTATAAAACTATTTCCTCTTTATCTGATCCATAGTAATATCAAGAATCAAAACATAAACTTCCAAAAGAGTTATGAGAGCTATATGTCTACACAATCAACCCAGAGCTCCATCCTCCCCCCCCCCCCCCCACCCCCTCACCTTCAAACCGAAAATAAATATAAATAAAATAAAATACTCCATATGCATATACTTTATTCAAAAGTAAATGAGAAGTAACAGGTAATTCATATGCAACAGATGTTAAGTACAATATCTTACTTGTTTGACCATTGGGATGTAAGCTAATTTGCTGAATCACATAGAAGGTTAAAACAATTTCTTCCTTGTTAATGGGGCAACATAAAACTTATTATGCAAAGTAATACGTGCACCAATGACGCATAATGGGATCACAGCAGAAAGCGAAGCACCAACACATAATACACAGCTGACTAACGCATGTAAGCATGAATGATGAAAAAAAATTACCTCCAATGACTACATAACGGAAAAACAACCAGCCACTAACAACTGCTTCACCAACCTGCAGGTTTGACAATATAATACACCCACTTCAGAACAATGCATAACTTACGATACAAAACACTATGGCTGGACAATAGAAGAAATAATATTTTTTCCAAAAACGAACATTCAAACACGAGAATTGAAATTTTTCAGTGGAAAGAACAGGGATAATATGTATCCAACTTTTTGTCTACATTATGTCAGCTTAAACCGATCTTTAATCTCAATGGTAAAGAGCAAAGAATCAAAGGATTTTGTCCTCGCACTCAAAGGAACCAGTTGAGCCTCTTCAAGCCTATGGTATAATAATTAACATCCGAAGTTCCTTTGCAGTCCTTGTTTTAGACATCGGTTACTACGTGACGTTAGAGTCAGAAAGTATTATTTTGTATTCATGGATAAACAGAATAACTTGGGAATTCATTAACAAGGATTTTATTTTTTGGCTTTTAAATCAATAATCCAGCACATTTACCTTACGTGGTTTGGATTTCATCACGTCTGAGTCTTGTTTGTTGAAACCTATAGCAGTTGCAGGTAACCCATCAGTAACCAAATTAACCCATAGCAGCTGAACCTGAGATTTAAAAAGTAATTGATGTTAAATTCAATGTGCATAACAACGTATGCATCTAAGAGTCTTAAATAATTGGCAACCACTAAAGCCACAATTACAGAAAAATTAAGACCAACATTTATCAAGAAATTGTGCAATTTGTATATCAAATATTTAAATAAAATCCAATATATTTAAAAGAAAAAGATTAAAAACTAGAATGAGATAGGACAATCTTGATCAAAAGAAAAAGGAAAAAAATAATAAAAAATCAGACTTTTTCAGCTTTTTTAATCAAGACATCCACATATTACTATCATTCATCATCAATTGTCACTTATTTCAAATTATTCTCATCAGTAGTCCAAAAACCAGGAAAATGAACAGCACTGTCATCAACAGAATGAAAATTTTTAATTTTCACAGGCCTTTGCAAAGGCTCCAATCAAAAAAAAAAAAGGCACTAATTTTTCAAAATTAGTCATACTAAGTAACAAAGGAAACCAAAGTCTAGAATATAGAGGCCAAAACAAACCCATTAAACTCAAAAGGGCCATTATATAATTTAACCACATCAATGAACTCGTCAAGAGTTGGAAAAGAGATAGCTGATTGCAATACAAAGTGTATAATACAAATAAAATATTAGGAAGCATAAGCATATTAGTTAAAATGAGATAAAATGATTAGCAATTGGAGTAAGAATTAGAAGATAAATGATGAACTCATCGGGATATTTTTAAGAATCTTCTACTTGGAGTTGACTGATTAATTACTTGTTTCTTCTTTGTATTTTATTCTATGTTTAAAACCAGTAATATTCTTGTTATTTTCAATTCCATGTCACAAATTTGAGTTATTAAGAAAAGTTTTACAATTGTTTATCAAATATATACTCCGAGCAAAATATATACTACTAGTCTACTATGGTCCATAAAATATATGTACTCCAAGCAAACTATCCCACTATTGTCTATTAAATAGATATACTCCAAGCAGAATATCCTACTATTACTTATCAAATATAAATACTCCGAGCAAAATATCCTACTACAACCTAAAACAAGTGAGCATCCCGCCCAAGACTGCTAGCAGGGTTGGCGCACAAGCAAGCCAACAAAACAGTCCCAAATTGTCTTTGAAGCAATATTTTGAAGGCATGAACAGCAAAATGTATACAATGCATCCCTAGAAAAAACTTATCCCCAAATCTTCATTTCCAAATTGGAGCATGATCTTGATTAATGCCGAATTTGCGTCAGATAGATGAGGAAAAATGAAAGCAACCTTGCCCCTAGAATAACAAAGTTGTTTCATGCAGACCCTTTTGTTGTCACTTTACCAAGAAATAAGTTCATAAAGTTTAATGAGCCATTCAGTTAATTCCATTGTACTCAAAAAAAAAAAATTGATTCTATTGGATATGGACAAAGAACGAAAAGATTGATAGAATAATATCAATAACATTTTCAGGACAACAATCACCATGAATAACAAAAGAACATTAAATGCTTATCAGTTATAGACTCACAGGCACAAGGGTGTCAGGGATTCCAAGAACGGCTGCTACAAATATACATACTACTTCACCAATATTTGAAGAGATCATGTATCTGATGAACTGCTTCGTGTTATTATATATAGCCCTCCCCTCTGCAACAGCCTGTAAGTAATTCAGCATTGACAATGAAAACCTAAATCACAATCCTTTAGTCACTGTTTAGTTATTATAAATCAAGAAGGAAAAAGCAAAAATACCGCAACAATAGTGGCAAAATTGTCATCAGCCAAAACCATGTCCGATGCACTCTGCATTGGGAAAGTAGATAAACACTTAAGAAAATGTTGACTTGTATTAAAAATAAATAAACAAATAATAAAAAAAGAAGCATAAAGCCAATAACTAGATCACACCAAAATCCAACTGAAGATATGTCAAACAATCAACTGTGAAGGCCAGAGGATGTTAAAAAGATACATTGAATGAGATCTATGAAAACTGCATAAGTAATTGGAGCATATGATTATATTTAACACTCAAACCCACAAGAATAGAGCGTTGAGAAATCAATACTCAGTGGGGTACCCCAGATCCACCTTTACTCAAGATGTATCCATCAAAAAGAGGAGAAAAGGTTATGTAGTGCAATTTATCTTCCAAGCAGGATGAGTGTGCTCAATGAAAGAAGCAGGAGGAAGGGCTGCAGCTTTCGTCTTAAAGGCAATGCTGATGCTTGGCATGGTTTCATGGTTTCTATCTGATTGGAAAGAAGAGATTTGGGTTCAGAAGATATAAAGGAGACATCTTGTAAAGTAGTATATACTCTACAGGGTGTTGTCTAAGATGATATCTTCTCCGCAGTTGAGAATCTTACTTTATTCTCTGTTAGTCATGTACTCGTGCAAAAAGGGTTGGAAATACAATTATTCATCTAGTCATTCATATTATAATTCATTCTCTTCTGCAAGGTATTAATGGTTGAATGAAATACTCCCCCCACCTGCAAATTTCATAATTAAAAATAAAAAATAAAAAAATAAAAGGAATAAAAGGAAAGTCAAATGTCATGGTCCAACTCTAAGTCCCTTATTGCAGCCTCAATCAGTGGGCATAATGGCAACAAAGAGGGATCTCATAGGCTGCCTCGCCAGCCTTCCATATAGATTTTAGACAAAACATTTATTTCTAATGAACACTCAATCAACAGTTACAAAATAACATTAATAGGCATGGAGCTCATTTGAGCAATTCATCCATACAAAGGCTTGTACTCTCATTGGTTTCAAAACAAAAAAAGCTTGTACTCTCATTGAAGCCTTGCAAAACATTCTTCGAAGCACTAGAACAACACTATTTCTTTGTTGCTTTTATATTTTAACACTTAGCCAATTCATGAGCCACAAAAAATGAAGCAATTTCAACAGGAGTGAGCAGCATGCAGCGGCAAAGAGACAAGGTCAACACACAATATGCAGGTAAACAAAAATTTCTGTTGCATCCACCAAAAAAAAGTCAAGGAAGCTATTCTTCAGTCTTAAAAGGTTTTCTAACGCTTTGCCGAAACAATTTCCAAATTTGACAGAATGTTGATCATATATACTGGATAGGAATAACTTTGTCATTAACAATGGTCTTTGTGCTAGGGAAGTAACAGAAGACACAAACATCTCCTATGACGCATTTTCTAACGATCTTAAGCTCCCGAAAAAAATAAGATGCATGCATATTTCTATACAACTAGACAGAACAGAAAGGAATTTCTGCAAGAATACATTTCAAAATATAACAGCTCCAACCCTCCATCAAAATTTCTTATTTGAATTTATAGTGTATTTAAGGCAGGATGGTAATGTGGGTAACAGATGTGGCTTACCTTAGCAACAGCTGTTCCAGAACCCATAGAAATCCCTATGTCTGCTTTCTTTAATGCAGGAGCATCATTGACTCCATCACCAGTCATTGCAACCTGAAACAAAATTACAAGAACAATACAAAATAAATTACATTAGATGAGCTGGAACTTGTAATACTGGTTGCTGGAACTGATGATTAAGTTCTTGATTGCAACACATTTTTTCTAGAAAATAATTCTGCAAGAACACACAGAGACACAAAGGCACACACACACATTCACACATATGTTTGCAAGTAGGGGGGAAGAACTCTAGAATCTAGATATATAGGATTAGTTGTCCAGAATGCATCAAAGGATTTGCCCACATTTTCCACTACCAATCGACCTTACCATTCCTTCAAGATATATTATGGTAAAAAAAATGTAAATAATTAAGGAATTAAAGATAAATATTACATGGAACTGATTCTGGTTGCTGGAGACTGATGATTTAAGTTTTTCATTGCTACACATTTTTTTCTAGAAAAAAAATCTTGAAGAACCCAAAGAAAGACAGACACACGCATACCCATATACTTGCACACGCATTCACACATTAGTTTGCGAGTCGGGGAGGAGGGGGGGGGGGGCTAAAATCTAGATATATAGGATGAGTTGTCCTGAATGCATCAAGGGCTTCATCCACATTTTCCACACCAATCCTCACACACACACACACACACACACTTAACGGCACTGAATACTTCTATACTCCGATTGGATTGAAAATATTTCCAACTCAATTTGGCACTGGTGTCCATCTTTACTGCATTATCAACCATAAAACAGGGAGCAATTAGGTAAAATAGGAGCTACTTTTTCCAAGAATCCTATTAAAACTCCCATCTTTGACGGCACAAGAAAGCTTAGTGTTCTCTAATACTCATATCCTCTCCTCTCTAAAAGTCTCTCAAATAAATTATTATTAAACCTCCATACTAACCAAGGATTGTATTTCCTTGTTGGAGATGTATGTGACCCTCTAAGGCATACGAGATTAGAGCCTTCCCTCATAAATAAATCTAGCTCATTTAGACTCATCCCACAGCAAGAGAAATGAATGAAGAATGGTGGGGGAGAATATTAAACTAAAGAAAAATAAAAATTTTAAGGGGGTGCTTAGTAATTCTTGTACCATGACCTGTTGCCTCATGGCATTTAGCACTTACATATAGGATTTGTAAGAATTAAAATGAGAAATTTGATCATCCAAATCTAACAGCCAAGAATATATATCAAACACCTGACTACAAGGTCTCTAGGGGAAGCCCTAACTACTAGGATATCACCTACTGCTTATGTCAGAATGTTACAGCGAATCTAACAAGACCTCACATGACTATAATTTTTCTTAGCTATAAACTATCAAAGCTAGTATAAGTAGAACATGCGAATATTGCATAAGTTAAAGTGTTGCAAGTAAAAAGAAACAAAGGAAGCATGTCACCATTCAAGAAAATCTTACCACTTCATTTTGATTTTGCAAGGCTTCAACCAGCATTCTCTTGTGAGAAGGTTCAACCCTAAAAATGTCATGTACGGATATCAGATTGTTTTAAATTGCGAGGCATATAGGATTAAGTGAAACTTCCATGCAAAAATATATTTATTTTGTATTTTTAACACTAAAGAAAGTGATAAAAATACATGGACACTTTGACATAAAGCATTGATTTGGTTAATTAAACATCAACATTCAGCATTTCAAGATTAGACATATGTTATAAATTGTACAGAGCTTTCTACCAATTAGTGAGTAGTGCACAGCTTAGAATTAGGCCTGAGCAGGAAAATCCGAAAATCCGATCTATTTTTTTTAGGAGGATATCCGATCCGATTTTTTTTCCGGATCGGATATCCGATCCGAAAAAGTCGGATATCGGATACCAACTTGGATAGTAAATTTTCAGATTTCGGATATCCGATATCCGTATCCGATTTGATATCCGAAAATTAAGCTGGGCTTGGCTTTTTGGGCCTAAAATAATAAAATCTAAAATGTGTAAACTGTAAACCCTAAACCCTCAATCCCTCATACTCATTCTCTCTGTCTCTCTCAACCCTCAATCCCGCTGCACTCTCTCTCTCTCTCTCAGTCTCTCTGCCTGACTCGGTGACTCCTCCCTCTCTGCCTCTCTCAACTCTCATTCTCTCTCGCCAGCCGCCGCCCTCTCTCTCTATCTCTCGCGCGCCGCTGCCCTCTTTACCTCTTTATAATATCCGAAAATTCAGTCATACTCATTCTCTCTGTCTATCGCGCGCCGCTGCCCCCTCTCTCTCTCTCTCTCTGCCTGACTCCTCTCTCATTCCCTCTCGCCGGCCTCCACACTGCTTGACTGCTTCCAACTAACGCTCCCTCAGGTAAAACTCCATCTCTCTTTACAAATTTCACAACTTCTACTGAAATTAGGGTTTTCTTGAATAGTTGAATGCTATCTGAAATTCTGAATCACCCATTGATTAATTTGTGTATATCTATTGTGTATATCTATTGTCTTGCTCTCCAGGTTTCTGATGCTTCATGATTCATAAAAGATGCATTGCATATCTCTGTCACTATCTACAAATTATTTCCCAGTAATACAGAACTAATTATGAGTTACTGTCATTAATATGCAGCATTCATTATAATGCACAGGCTTATTATTATTTCATATTCCAGTTTTTATCTAGTTTGATTAATATGCAGCTGTTCATGTAGCGGTGTAATTGACTAGAGGTATACATACAGCTTCTAAAAATATGACCTGAGAAGTGAGAAGTAGTATAATAAAGTTTTACTAGTTTTTGTTAAAAATGAGTAAATTTGTTGTCACATTTTTTTAGAAAATTTGATCTATTTTGTACTAATATAAACATGTAGATTTATTTTGAAGTGGTAAGTTCTTTTTTATGAATGTTCATTTATATTTTAGTACAAGGTCATTCACATGTTAATAGATGATTTATATAAATGCTCTTTCACATATTAACAATAGTTGTCATATATGGTCTTTCACATATTAACATACTCTTATAGTGACAGATTTATGGCGGATATGACAGGGGAGAGTGCTACCCCCTCAAGTGTTAACCCCTGAAGTGATGATCCATTGACATCCACGGAAAATGCTTCACAACCAAAGCCACAAGATGTTCCACCTGATTCGGAGGCGCAAATTCCAACCAAGAGAGCGCTTGATGATCTTGGAGCTCCAAAAAAAGGTAAGAAGAAAAGATCTTGGGTTTGGGATCACTTTGTGTCATTCACAAGAGATGGGGATAAGAGGGCTAAATGTAACTATTGTGAAACTGATGTTTGTGGTGACTCAAAGAGTGGTACAAGTGTTATGAAAAATCATATTACAAGGTGCAAAGAATACCCTCCTAACATTGATAAATCACAAAGACTTCTTTGTTTGCAAAGTGAACAAACTGAACAAGTTAAGGGAGATGGTAGTGTGGATGACAATATGTCGGGGACATTCGTAAATGGGAGAAAAGGTAGATTAGATCTTTGGAAATTTAAGCAAGATGAATGTAGAAAAGCATTTGCAAAGATGGTCATAATAGATGAGAAACCTTTTAGATGTTGTGAGCATGAGGGTTTTCGCTATTTCATGTCATTTGCACAACCCAACTTTGTTTTCCCCTCTCGTTTTTCTGTGGCAAGAGATTGTTATCGTATATATGTAGAGGAAAAAAAGAAGCTTAAAAGTTACTTTTTCAAGTCTTCTTCTCGCATTTGTCTTACTACCGATACTTGGACATCATGTCAAAACTTGAGTTACATGTGTTTGACTGCTTATTTCATAGATGATAATTGGATATTGCACAAAAAAATCTTAAATTTTTGTCTAATTAGCGGTCATTCTAGTGAGGCTATTGGTAAAGGGATAGAAAAATGCTTGCTTGAGTGGGGCATTAGTAGAGTCATGACTATAACAGTGGACAATGCTAGTTCAAATGATGTAGGTATTCAATACATAAGAAGACGACTTCAAAGATGGAAAGATGGGGCTGTGTTGGGGGGAAAATTTGTGCATATGTGTTGTGCATCTCATATTCTCAATTTGACTGTGAGGGAGGGTTTGAAAGAAAATGATGAGTCAATAAAAAGAATAAGAAATGGGGTAAGGTTTGTTAGATCTTCTCCCGCAAGATTGCAGAAGTTTAAGAATTGTGTCAATCAAGAGCAAATTGAGTCTAAACGTCATCTTTGCTTAGATGTTGAAACTAGGTGGAACTCAACTTACATGATATTGGAATATGCTTCTATTTTTTGTAAGGCTTTTGATTTGCTTGAAACTTCTGATGGTGGTAAATTTAATGAAGAATTGACAAAGTCTAATGGTGTTCCAACTGATGATGATTGGGATCTTGTTGCTTCTTTGCTCCCTTTTCTTAAGATATTTTATGATGCTACTTTAAGACTTTCTGGGTCCTTGTATGTTACTTCTAATGTGTATTTGCAAGAACTTGTTACCATTGGAAAGATGATAAAGAGAAAGTGTGAAAGTAGTGATCTTGGTGAAAGATTAATGGCCCATGGAATGAAAAGAAAACATGATAAGTATTGGGAAAATGTGAATACTATCAATTTGATGTTGTATGTTGCTGTTGTACTTGATCCAAGGCGAAAGATGCAATATGTGAAGTGGTCTATTGATGATCAATATGATTTGGATAAGGGTAAAGATTTGTATGATAAGATTAGGGATGCGTTGAATTCTTTGTATGAACATTATGCCTCTCAACAAACACAAAGTGGGTCAAGTCCATCCAATATGTTTGATTTGACTACAAGAGACATGGAAAGCTTTGAGGATTGGCATGACATGGGTGAATTTAAATTTAAAAGGGATATAGGAAGTCAAAGTAATCTTGAGAAAAAGAGTTATTTGGATAAGTATCTAAATGATGAAAGAGAACCTAACACTATTGGAAAGAGCTTTGATGCCTTAGATTGGTGGAAGAATCGTGGGAAAAGATACCCTATTGTAGCTCTTATGGCGAAAGATGTGTTAGCTATTCCTGTATCCACTGTAGCGTCTGAATCTGCAATTAGTATGGGTGGACGAGTACTTGATCCCTTTCGCAGCTCACTTTCATCAAATATGGTTGAAGCTTTGATATGTGCTCAAGATTGGTTGCGAAATACTCGTGGCCCTTTAGTAGTTGAAGAAAATCTTGAAGATATTGAGAGAATTGAATAAGGTATAACATTTTATTAGTTATTATGTTTTTTTTTTTTTTATTAATTTGCATAATTTAGTTTTAACTTCTAACTAATTTTTTATTCTATATTCTTTTTAAAAATTGTTGTGTAGAGTTATCACCACTTATTGAGCAACCTTCAAGTGGCGTTGATGATTACATGTAACAAGTTGAAGATGAGCTTGAAGATTGGAGATTGGAGCTTGAAATACATAAGATGAAGTTGTAATTTTTTTTATTTTGTTTTTTGTGGTGTAATTTACTAATTTGGAGTTTGTGGAGTTAGTGGCTTGGAGCTTTGTAGAGATTATTTTATGTGTGTTTAATATGTTTTTGTGTGTTTAATATTTGGTTAATTGGTTTAGTGGTTTTGGCTTGTTGCTGTTCCCTGTTGGTGATGTAGCCGCCTTGTTGGGCTTATGTTTTGTTGTTGCTGCTTGCTTGCTACGATTTGCTGCTGCCCATATGCTGCTACTAAAAGTTGCTGCTTTGCAAGCTGCTGGTTAGTAAGTTCGCTGCTGCATTTCTGGTCGTCCATCTAGTGGTGTCTACACCTGAAGCTGCTCCTTCTGTTGCCTGTGTTTGGAGCTCTCCTGACTTGTTGTTGCTGCCTCTAATTTAGTAATTTGATGTCGATATTAATAAAAAAAAAAAAAAATTTTGAAGGAATGTCAATATTAATAAAAATTTTTTTTTAAGGAATGTCGATATTAATAATTTAATACATGAATGAAACAGTTTATTATAATAAAATGGAAAAAATAATATTTAAAAAAATAGGTTTTAAAATTTCGGATAACGGATAATTGAAGTATCCGATCCGAAAAATTTCGGATATCGGATATCCGGAACATTTCGGATCGGATACGGATATCAAATTTGCAAATTCTCGGATTCGGATATCCGATCCAAAATCGGATATCGGATCGGATATCCGATCCGTGATCAGGCCTACTTAGAATTACTTTCAAACATGAAATTTATTTTAGAGCAAGAAAGGGAACAAGGACACATAAATCAAGCTATAGTGTCACATTACACATTTACAAATCCCATTTAAGATTTGACAGCTATCTGAAAATTTTATTGTACCTTGTAAAGAGAGCCATACGTTGCAATGCTATTGTCTTCTGCAAAGCTGGAAGTTCTTCAAATTCAGATGCTGTAAAAGAGTTCCCCACAAAATCTCCAAGGTGATCAAAAGCTCCTATCTTGCGGCATAATGATTCAGCAGTTGCCTAAGGTTGATAGTCAAATTACAAACCTAAATTAGAAACCTGTGACATGCAATAAATCAAACAGCCACATTTTCATTTTCACATTTTCTTCTTTTGGCTTCATCTTTTCCCTTCTTTTTTTTTTTTTTTTGGTGAGAAATAAAATGAATGAGAAAAGTAAAAATACCTTATTGTCCCCCGTTACAACTATGACCCGTATTCCTGCAGTCATACATGCCAATATGGCATTACGTACTTCTTCTCTTGGTGGATCAAGCATTCCCACCTAACCACAAGATGGAAGGTTAATGTAGAAGATAGACCAACTTTACAAGCATGCACATAAGGAAGAGATCAAGCATTGCCACCACACCACCCTAACCCGCTGGAAACTTTCCAATGAACACCCTGGAACCAATCCCAGCAAAAAGAACCAATTACCCCATATAACACTCCAACCACCCAAAACAACCTACAAACTCTAAAAATTCAAACAGCAATAATCAAGTAAAATAGAAATAAACCTTTCTGTATCATCAATTATGGTTTTATATGGTCAAACTCAATCATGAAAATTCCAGATATGGAGTTTTCATGTTCGAATTTGACCTTAAAATCCAACCTTTTAACAGAGGTTGTGGAACAATAAGAACAGGAAGATAGCAGGAGACAGCAGAGATGGGAATGGGGGGAGGCAGTGGCGGCAATGGGAAAGGGGGGTGGCTGTGGCGGCAACGAGAAAGGGCAGTGGCTGTTGCGGCAACGAGAAGGGGGGGGCGACAGTTACGGGCCTGGCGGCAAGAGGAGAATATCACCCAAACAACATATGATATCAAATGGAATTACTTTGCATTTCCCTTCTATCCCTTTCTTGATTCCATACCCTTTACTCCATACGAACCAAGCGCCCCCTTAGTCTTAAGGTAGGGAATTGAACCAAAAGCAAGCTCTTTAAAGGTTCATAAGGGTTTATCTTTTGACCTACATTCTTAGTTCCACTACATGTCAACAAATCTAAGTAATTAAACATTAGTTCATACTTCAAAGAGATGACGAGATAGACTAAGCAACGAATATGTGAAACGTCAGCCAACAAACAAAACATTAACTAGAGCATGATCAAAATCAAAATCCATTTAAAATTTACCTAGGGGATTCAGGTCTATAAAATTTACATAGGAAATCATCAAAGCCACACCACAATGAGCAAACTAGTAAACATCAGCAAATAAGCGTAGTGAAAAAATGTGGAGGAATTACAATGAAAGCATACCATCCCAATAAATGTTAGGTCTTTCTCGTCATCAAAAGAGAGAACATGTTGATCCATGGGCAAACGTTTGACAGCCAAAGCAAGGCATCTCAAAGTTTCTTTTCCTGCAAAACTATTATAAAGGTATAAGTCAGTTTTAAAACAAAGCCCTAAAACTATATAAATGAACTGGTAGAAATATAAATCTTCAAAATTATTTCAAACTGAATACTGCGAAGTAAGACTAAATAACATTGTACATGGAACAGAGAAAACAAATAGAGATGTAGGATTTTTAACGGCGTCTGTGCAAATAAAGTCCTAACAAAGCTGGGCTTAGTGAAGCATATAATCTTACACTACCCCTCTAGATGATGGTGTTTAGGTGAGGCAAGTTAGGCTGCATTTTGAGCTTTAGGAGACGACAAATTCATTAAAAGATATATCAGATTAGGTGCAGGAATAACGGTATGGGAAGGCACAAAAATTATTTTTATTGTACGGAAGGAACATAACAAAAGGAATTTCAAACACTCAGGTTACAGCTTGAAAATCAGTCATATAGAAAAAGAAGCAAGGAGGAAAGTCAAGCAAATTTAAACTGGTGATCTGATAAAGACACAGTCAAAAATTTTATTGTCATGCAGGTATACAAGATGATTTCGGTATATATGTTGCATTGGTGAGCCATGATGGGATATACATACATACATATATGTATATAAGTTCAGCAGTTTATGATATAATGAGTAAACCTGTTAAACTTTGCCTCCAACTCAGTTCGAATCTCGGCTGTCAATGGAATAATTGAACCATTGTCATTGCAGAGAATACTCGTGCATCTTGAAATTATGCTCTCTGGAGCGCCTTTAGAAAACATTGTTGTAGATTGTTTATGACTGCAAAGCACACTCATCATCTTGCGATCACGAGAAAATTCTAGTGCAGAGATCTGCAAGGCATTTATATTAGTGTCAAGTAGCATTTATATTGTTTACGTGTAGAAGTTTAGAGTCAAAGGGAAGAAGATTCAGTCACAGTCGTTCGAACATGCAAGTTTAACAGACAGGTACACAATCAGTGTACATCCGCTCTAGGGGTCCTCCAAGATGTAAATGTCAAAACAATACATGTGTGTGCATGTCTACTTCTGCAGGTCTACTGCTCAAGAACGTGGATCTTGTTTTGACGTAACTATCAGTATTATTTATATTTATCTTTTTATTTGTATTTTACTCCGCATTGGCTTAGGTCACTTTCAAATTTACTAGGGTCCTTGGGATTGGAGGGGAAGTTAACGGAATCCCCACGCCCAAAGTGCTAGTACTGGGGTTCCCACAATCTCATGGTTATAAGATACAAATCCTTATCACTAAACCAAGTACTATTTGGTTCCTAAAATGGTTTAACTGTAGAACATCAATATGGAATACGGCTTCAATATTCTTTGATGGTGGGATGATTTCTCTTTAGACCTTGGAAAGGAAACTATAAACCCCGAAAACATATAATGCATAAAAAATTAAGCTAATGAATTCAGCATAAAAAGAAAAAGAGAAGAGAAGGAAGAGAAAAATGCCACTGGAGAAATAATATAGGTACATAAGCATACCTTCTTGAATAGATTCTCCCAATATCGATTACAATAGGACGCTCGTTCATGCTTGCTTAACATATTCAGGGCAGATGGCATAGAATCAAAGCCAGGAATTCCAATCTGAATAGTGATTTCATTAAAAATAAATAAATAAATAATTAAATAAATAAAAACCTCTTTTCATCATATGCTATGAACAAAAACGTAAAGATACATGCAAAGTGCATCAGTAAAAATGAGCAATGTGCATATGATGTACACGCCAACCACCTTTTCAGCCAATACACGAAGTGCCACTTCTGTAGACTCTCCTATCTTTTCATAGGCTCCTTTGTCTGGGTTATACTGCAGTGAAGACTCATTGCACATGGCTGAACACATGGCTATGTGAAGAAGGCAAGGCTGCCGTGAAGGCAAGTCAATCTGCAACAGTTCCACAAGCCACAAATCAATTAAAGTTATTTGTCATTCATCCAATAAACTGTAGTAATTTTCAATAATAATACAAACATGATAGCAGAGAAAAGATATATAACTATTTTAAGGGGAAGAAAAAAAAGCACCACACTGAACAGTAAATGCAGAATAAATAATAAGCTACCACTAAGACCTTATCTATAAAAGCATCCAAGTAACAAAGGAGTGATATATTAGCCAAAGTACAGAAAGCATGCTCTTCATCCAACATTGAATCAATTACTTCGTACTTATGTAATTGAGTCATAGAGTATCAAATTATTAGCTTTCCTTGACACCTTAGATGAATAGGGAAATCCATGTCAGAATTAATATATTAAAAACAATCTACACATAAAAAACATTCATATCAATTCCAAATGTAAACCTCACTAAAATTGTAATTCTATGCTCTGAATATTCTACTGCATGAGCCTTAAGCATACCGCTGAGGTTGAACACGTATGATCATTAATGAAAAGTCACTCCTTTAAGAATTCTGTTTTTAATTTTTATTTCTTAATAACATAGTGTTTTTCCATATAGAAATACAAGAATGTTACCACAAGAACAAGACATACAAGAATTCCCATAACATAGAAGACAACCGACGAATTTATCTGGTTTCTTAAACACGTCCCTCTACCCCCACCCTCCAACAAAAACAATCAAAAAGTGAAAGTAGGTCTGTACCATCATGCACAGACCTAGCAACAAGCAATTTGAAATAGTTTTAGCATTACTTTAGCAACAATGAACCAGCGGACTGACTACAAAAATTACTCCCATCCAGAAGTCAGAAATCTAAGTGTCTTACACAAGAATTAAGGTTTCTCTATTGAATTTTTATAACATAAAGTTCATTAAATATGACATCGACGAAATGAAAGCTATAATACCAAAAAAAAATAAAAAATGCTAAAAAAAACCAAACATATGAGAGAGCTGGTGTTTATCATACACCATATGAACCATGAGAAAGCCTGGCATACAGAGTAAAGATTCCACCCTGTAAACAAAAATGTGAAGAATTACCCAGACACCATCATCGTTCAAAATTGCCCCTTCAGGGGCATATGTTGTCCCATCAACCGCATATTCTGATGTAACAGAGCTATGGTGTGCAGAATGAAGAACACAGATCTGCAAGAAACAATTAAAAGAAGCAAACCATCAAACTTAGGTGTCTCATGGGCGGTCAACTATCTAATTAGCTTACAATTATCCAGCATAAGTTTTTCAGAAAATTGCATTGGCTTTATACCACTAAGTTATTTTGATTCTTCATTTTGTCTTACACACCCATGTTGGAGTATGAAATTCTTACTCGACACCTCTATGCTTGCCCAGAAACTTTAACTATCTAAAACCACATAATCGTTGAAGAAGAAATGTTTAGATAAAAGGAAAAGAAAGAATATGTAAGATATGTGTTCCCAATGGGCTTCGGATAAGCATTTCAACACGAATTAATAATCAAGTCAACGTAAAATGTGTAAGACGGCGTTTGGTAGGGGTATTTAGGAAAGAACAAAGAAATCAAAACAGCTGATTCCCTACGTTGATGTTTGTATTGACATTTAGGTCATTCCCTTTCCCCTCTCTCGGTCTCTCCATTCCGCCAAAGTCAAAGTTGATTCCCCCCCCCCCTTAAGGTAATTGGTTTCCCTTTCTTTAGCCACCACCACATCACACCAACCACCGCCAGCACCTCACGGCCATCACCCTACTGCCGCCATCTCACCGGGCGTCAGCGCCCTAACTACTGCCACCACCACCCTAGAATATCCACCCCACCCACCGAAACCACCAATTTCTCACCCCCACCTCACGAAAACACAACCCCACCACCCGAAAACCCAACCCACCTTAGAAAACACAACACCGCCCATTTAAAAACCCACCCCCACTCCCGTACACACCACCTCACCCACCCGACTACCCCAAACACCTAAAATCCACAACGCCCAAACCTGAAACTAGCTTAGGTCTAGAAGAATTTTCATCATAAGAAGACAGAGAAAGAGTGAGAGATAGAGTAAGGAAGGGCGGCAGCGGCATCAAGGAGAGGGGCGGCAGTAGAGGCGGTGACTTTGGAAGGGAGGGGCACCAGCGGTAGTGGAAGAACTAATGGGGCAGTGGCTTTTGGATTGTGGTTTCCTAATTTAGGGTGATGGTGGTCATTGAAAGGAAAGGAAATGGTTGTTTAAAACAAACGACCTAAATCTAAAGGTCTTTGTGAACATTTTGCTTCTTTCCCTTTCCCTTTGTTAAACCAAACGCCCCCAAAACGTATTTAAGAGTCAAAGTTCATGTGAAACAATCTTCTTATAACAAAATATGTTCCATTATAACATGACCCCGCACCCAGTCAAATTTTAGGACAATGTTGGTGTCACACACCTGGACGTGTACCCACATCCAGCACTTATATATGATAGTTGGAATTCGATGATCACCAGATATAGACATACAGGACTCAATTTTCCAGATAGAGACATACAGGACTCAATTTTCCAGATATAGACATACAGGACTCAATTTTCATATCAGCAGAAAGAGATACTATGCGAGACACCCTTGACTATTAGCAAATATCTAAGAACATATCTGTCACGAATGTTAGTAACATGATAATATATACAGTTCTTTGGATCCAACAAAAAAAAAAAGTTTCTGGTATAAATTGTTATAGTATTATCAACCTGATGCAATAAGAATGAGTTATTTAACAATGGAATGCTCCTGTATCTTATGATTCAGACCCTTGAGATATGTTGATTAAAGAAGTTAATTTACTTCATATGAATTAGGTTCAAACGTACCTTAGAGACAGACATCATATTCGTTGTCAGAGTACCAGTTTTGTCACTACAAATCACAGTAGTACAGCCAAGGGTCTCTACTGATGGCAAAGACCTTACAATCGCATTCAACCTGGCCATTCTTTTCGTGCCAAGAGCCAGACACCTTCAAAATGAAAGGAGACTTGTAAACAGCATTCTGAAGCCAATAAATACATTAAAGATTAATCGGTGAGGCAAACATGATAAAAGCAATATACACACGTTGTAACAACAGCAGGAAGCCCTTCCGGAATAGCCGCAACTGCCAATGCCACTGCAATCTAGCAAATAACAAAAGAGGTCATTAAAAAAAAAAAAAAAAAAAAAAAAAAAAAAAAAAAAAAAAGAGGGGGGAGGGGGGGGGGGAAAGCTACTTTCAAACCCTGAAACATCAGCAGAAATTTTTCTAAACAAGAATAGAAATTATGATTCATGTTGCAATAACCTTTACACATCATCAAAATTACAAACACATCCCTTCTGATCTTCAAGATGTTCTAAGGAAAATCAGAGATAATTGGTGTCATCAGGTACAATCCAAATATGAAATGTGGTAACTTGATACAAGTAACAAAACTATCAGTTATGAGGTGCAGTCCACTTATAAATTTTGGTTACTAGGAGGTTAATATACAAAATTGGAACAAGTGACAACATGTTTTTTTCTTTCTTTATACCTCCTCCATTCCTTAATATTGCATCATTTACACATTTGAAAACATTCACACACTCCACTTCAGCCACATATTGTGATTTATAACAAAAGAAAATTATAGTCTTGTGGTGGTAATGTTAGATTCATCTCAATAACAACATTAATGATATCAACTGTTTATAAATTTTACTCTTATATAATTAAAGATATTTAAGGTTGAGAATGTGCATTGGGATGTGTAAATGTCCTCCATGGTGCAATGTTAGAGTTAAAGAGGAAGTGTTGAGGAATATGCTAAGAAGAAACAAAGTAGAGCTAACAAAAAACATGATCTTTAAGTTATACAGTAATTTATCCCTTATTCAGTAGCTTCAGACTTTTAGGTGGGCATTCGGCTGCAAAGTTACACCATCCTCAAGGAAATAAAGTTTATGGGAAATGAATAAAAAGTTACATATGATTCATGTACTAAGACAAGCAATATTCACTATTAAATTATCAAAGGCAGTGGTGTGTCATTAACCATTGTTGGCTCAATGACAGCCTGTAGAAAAGAATTATAATCCTTCGCAAGAACTTTATAATCAAGTATCCATTAGTGACTTCCTTTCCAAATCCACATATGGCATTGGATATAGAAAGGTACGAATTGCCACATCTCAACTACACTCTCCATCCTTGTCCAAGCCTATAGAAAATCTATGGGTTAACATGGTTGAATAGGTTTGGTTTAACACAGATGAATTGGCATATCTCATATAAATCTAGAAACTTTTCTATACAAAGAGCTTCAAGGAGAAATGAGAACAAGATTATCAAACTACTAGCAATACTGATGTTCTTTGTTTGAAGCACATCTTAAGTTGGGGTGTTAACCATAATTGTAGTCCAATAAAAAAAAATTCTAAAATAGGGATGATATCTATAATTGCAGTTCAAACAAATAGAGCTACCATAAGCTTCTGGATCCTAAATAGCCATAGCAGAAGGGCAGAGGCCCTTTAATCAAGTAAAAAAATTTCTAAACAGAAGGAAGTATTCCTATCACGCAGTCAATTCTCGATTGATCACAACGTCTCCTTCAAATTAGAACTACATTTCTAAAAGTGACGTCTACCCCAAAAAAGAATCCAAATTTAAGTCATTAAATAATTCAGTAAAAAGAAACATTCCTATATATCTGGTCACACCAATTTGAGACAACACCTCCTTACAATCGGCTTCCTCAAGTTAACGTAAATCAAAAGAGCCCTAAAGAGTGAATTTCGATGGGATCCTTAGCACAGCAAATATCATGCCAAAAATGATACTATGGAAGAAATATCCACAATCAATAACCTTTTCGGACCTGTTCAACCATTCGGGTCCGGGTCCAGGTCCAGTCAAAGCAAACCTGGTCCGATCTCCAGGTCCTTAAATTTTTAATTTCCGGTCTTTGTTCCGGTTTAGTCTTAAACTGGTGAGAAACTATTAATTTGCATCAAACCCAGAGACACTATCAATGACAATAATCAAAAGTCTCCAACATACATCAAACAAATCCTTCAGAAACTTGATAACAACTCAAAATACAAGGATCAGTTGATGCTCAACTACATCAAATCAACAATTCATAGACATTATTTGAGCATGTATGCAATTTATAGCCAGAAATGGTATAAGTTCAACCATAAATGATTACCTTAAAATAATGGATAGCACCACGTAGAAAGCCACCATGAGAAGGATCACGGAAATGACCAATATTAACAACCCACACCAGTACACAGATACCTGCTATAACCTAAAAGTGTAGAAAATGCATATGTTTAGATAAGAAAAGATCATTTATCTAAAAGGAAATGCAAAATCACAAAGGTGGGACAAGAAGCTCACCAAAAATAAAGCAAAAATATATATACTTCCTTTGTTACCCTAATTGCAATAGTTGGACTTTCACACAATTCATCCACTCTCCTTTCACCATCGATGGTGATTCATATATAAGGAAAAACTGTCTTGTGGGATATAGTTAAATTCATCTCTATTTATACTTGTAATACATCAATTTTGTATAATTTTTTACTTATTGAAGTTTAACAATATTAAGAGTTAAAGTTGTGTGTTGGGAAGGGTGGTATAAACTCAACATGTTGCAATATTAGGATAATGACGCAATATTTCATTATCGTATCAACCCAAGGAACACACCATGGGATAAAATAATGCTAAATACACCACTCTTTTCCATAAACTAACCAAAAACAGAAGATACTTTATCACAAAAAATCCTATTATGCCTCTCCAACCTCGGCATAAACAAAAAAACAGCCTGTCACTCGCTTTCTGCCTCCCAAACCTTATGGTATCAGTAAATGCCCAATAAAAAGTAAAGGGTGCAACCCAATGAGTTCCTAAAAAACTGTAAAGACTCTGCCACAAAATAGACAATGCCTTACATGGAAAAACAAATTATTCCCTGTTTCCTCACAAGCAAGACATAAAATGCACACAGAGATAATGTCTAGCTCAGTCTACAAACTGCAGTTTCTTGTTCCTCCAAGGTACAACCTGTTAGGATTAGTGTGGAGATAGATAAATACATGGAGACATAAGGAGATTGCATAGAAGCTGCCTTATTGTTAAGGTTCGACCAAACTTGTGAAAAGTTCGGTCGAACCCGGTTTTAAGTCAGTAGGTGCACCAGTTTACATTTCTAGAGGAGGAGTGACCAAACCCAAGGAGGTTCGACCGAACCACCCCAGGTTCGACCGAACTCTGGGTAGGTTCGGCCGAACCTCCCTGCTCCCTATTTCGTCGCTTCGTTTTCGGCTTGTGCGATTTGCTTTAATCTTAGCCGTTGGATTGTATTTTCTACCTAGACTATATATACCTTTTCTAAGCCTCTTTGTTGATGATTCACAAACATTTAAACACATAGAGAGGTTTTGAGAGGGTTTGTGAGGAGCATTTGAATTCTATACAATTCATGCTTGTAATTCTTGAGTTCATTCATCATCAATATTACTCCATAGTGCAAGGGTGGGTTTTTTCTCCCGGTTCTCGGGTTTTCCCACGGTAACATTGTCTTCCTTTTACTTGCTTTAATTCCTTCAAAGTTGTTCTTGATTGTTATGCTTGTTTGTTCATTGCTATTGTGGGTTGATTGCAAGTTAGTTGAACACTTTAATCCTTACAATTGGTACCAGAGCCAAGGTTGAATCTTTGGTGTTTTGATGATTTAGGGTTTGTGTTAAACTTGAAATTGTGATTGAGTTTCAAAGTTTGGAACTTTAGGTGTTCAAAGTTTGAGTCTTGGGTGTCAAGTTGCATTCTTTGTTGTTGAAAACCTATTGTGAACTTTGTGTGTTTGATTTGCAATGGAAGAAGGCAAGTTGAGAATTGAGAAGTTTGATGGGAAGGATTTTGGGTTTTGGAAGATGCAAATAGAGGACTATTTGTATCAAAAGAACCTATATTTGCCCCTTACTAGTAAACCATCGGGTATGAAGGAAGAGGAGTGGAAAGTATTGGATAGACAAGCCCTTGGAGTGAGTAGATTGACATTGGCTAAGAGTGTTACTTACAATGTCAAAGATGTGACAACGACGGTTGGTGTGATCAAAGCATTGTCCAATATGTATGAGAAGCCATCGGCTATGAACAAGGTGTTCTTGATGCGTCGTTTGTTTGAAATTGAGATGAATGATAGTGGTTCCGCCCCCGAACATATAAATGAATTCAATTCAATAATCTCTCAACTAGCTTCGGTTGAGATTAAGTTTGATGATGAAGTGAGGGTCTTGATCTTGTTGTCATCGTTGCCTAGATGTTGGGATACCGTTGTAGCCGCCATTAGCAACTCTTCCGGAAAGTCGAAGTTGAAGTGTGATGATGTGAGGGACTTAATCTTGAGTGAGAGCTTGAGAAGGAAGAACTCGGGTGAGTCATCGGGTGGTGCTTATTCTAGTGAAGGTAGGGGACGTGGAAGACAACAAAGAGGTGCTCAAAGAGGAAGATCGAAGTCTAGAGGGAGGAGTAAGTCGAAAGGGAAGGTGAACATTGTGTGTTGGGGTTGTGGTGTGAAAGGGCATACTAAGAGGGAATGTCCTAATCCCAAGAAGAAGGGTGGTTCAAACCACAAGAACCACGATGATGCTAGTTCATCGGTTAGCTTGGCATCAAGCGATGAAATCGGTGATGCATTGATCTTGAGTGTTGATAGTCCCATTAAGTCTTGGATCCTTGATTCGGGAGCTTCATTTCATTCTTCTCCATGTAAGGAGATTTTCCAAAACTTCAAGAGTGGCAAGTTTGGAAAGGTGTACCTTGCGGATGATGAACCTTTGGATATTGTGGGGAAGGGAGATGTTATGATCAAGACTTCAAGTGGGAGCTCATGGAAGCTTGAAGATGTTAGGTACATACCTAAGCTAAGGAAAAATTTGATTTCGCTGGGTCAACTAGACTCAAGCGGTTTTAGAACCATGTTTGGTGAAGGTACTTGGAAGGTGTCAAAGGGAGCTATGGTGGTGGCTCGGGGCACGAAGACCGGCACATTGAACACTACCTTAGGGTGTAAAAGAATGATTGCTACAACCGCAAATGATGAGACTAAGCTTTGGCATACTCGGCTTGGTCACATGAGTGAGAAAGGGATGAAATTGCTAGCTTCAAAGGGTAAGTTGTCGGGGTTGAAATCAATCGACATGAAATTTTGTGAGACATGTGTTTTTGGGAAACAAAAGAAGGTGTCTTTCACAAAAACCAAACGGTCCTTGAAGAAGGAGAAGCTAGAACTTGTGCACACGGATGTTTGGGGCCCATACCCCATCAAGTCCCTTGGTGGTTCTCACTATTTTGTCACTTTCATTGATGATTCAACCCGGAAAGTATGGGTATATTTCATGAAGCACAAGTCGGAAGTGAATGAGAAGTTCAAGACTTGGAAGGCGGAGGTTGAAAATGTTTCGGGCAAGAAGATTAAGGCAATCAAGTCCGACAATGGAGGAGAGTATGAGTTGGAAGCTTACAAAAACATTTGTAAGGAGCATGGCATTGTTTTGGAGAGGACCATTCCCGGTAAACCTCGCCAAAACGGGGTAGCGGAGCGGATGAATAGGACTTTACTGGAGAGGGCAAGGTGTATGAGGTTGTTTGCGGGCCTCCCAAAGTGTTTTTGGGCGGATGCCGTTAGTACCGCGGCTTACTTGATAAACCGTGGACCTTCGGTACCTTTGGAATTCAAGATACCGGAGGAGGAGTGGAGTGGCAAGGAGGTGTCCTACACTCACTTGAAGACCTTTGGTTGTGTGGCCTATTTGCAATCCGAAAAGAGAGACAAGCTAGACCCAAAAGCCATCAAATGTTACTTCATCGGGTATGGATGTGAGAAATATGGTTATAGATTGTGGGATCCTAAGAATCGAAAGATTGTTAGGCATTGTGACATCACTTTTGATGAGAGCTCTTTGTACAAAGACAACTTTGGTGGGAAATCCGTTGAGAAAGAATCAATTGAAGATGAGCGGGAATTTGTTGAGCTAGATGGTAAGGTTAGAAGTGATAAGGAAGTTGAACAGGTAGAAGTTGAGGTGCAAATTCAACAAGCATCTCCTCAACATGGTGCTCATGTTCCGGTGGATTCGGATTCAAGTGATTCGGATGATGATGATCACTTGGAAACGGATGAGCGAGTAGATATGGGTGAGCCCGTTGTGGTTCATGGAGAGCCATCTACACCACCAACGGTGAGGAGATCATCAAGAACAATCAAGCCACCACACCGATATTCTCCATCCTTGCATTATTTGTCGTTGACGGATTCCGGTGAGCCGGAATGTTATAAAGAGGCAATGGGCATGGGTGACTCGTTGAAGTGGGAGCAAGCAATGGAAGATGAGATGTCTTCATTGGAGAAAAACAACACTTGGGTGCTGGTTGAGTTGCCTAAGGGCAAGAGAGCACTTTTGTGCAAGTGGATCTTTCGAAAGAAAGAAGAACCGGATGGTACAATTCGGTACAAGGCAAGACTTGTGGTGAAAGGTTTTTCACAAAAGGAGGGCATTGATTATCATGAGATCTTTGCTCCGGTTGTGAAGCTAACCACTATAAGGATCTTGTTGGCTATAGTGGTTTCGGAGGACTTATTTCTTGAGCAAATGGATGTAAAAACCGCGTTTTTACACGGTGATTTGGAGGAGGAAATCTACATGAAGCAACCGGAAGGGTTTCAAGTTCTGGGTCAAGAGAACTTGGTGTGCAAGCTTAAACGGAGTCTATATGGGTTGAAACAAGCTCCTAGACAATGGTACAAGAAGTTTGACAATTTCATGCTAGGCAATGGTTTCGTGAGAGCGGAAGGTGACCATTGTTGCTACTTTCAAAGGTATGACAATGGCTATATCTACTTGCTTTTGTATGTTGATGATATGTTGATTGCGGGAACTAGTATGGAAATTGTCAATGACTTGAAAAAGAAGTTGTCAAGAAGATTTAAGATGAAAGACTTGGGTGAGGCCAAGCAAATACTTGGCATGAGAATTTCTAGGGATAGCTCAACGGGTGTGTTGAAGTTATCTCAAGAGGAGTATGTCAAGAAGGTGCTTAAAAGATTTAACATGATTGATGCAAAGCCTCGAAGCTCACCTCTTTCAAGTGAGCTCAAGTTGACTAAGGAGGATTGCCCAAAGACAAGGGAAGAGAAGGAAAAAATGGCCATTGTTCCTTATGCTTCGGCTGTTGGTAGCATGATGTATGCTATGATTTGCACGAGGCCCGACATTGCTCACGCAGTGGGAGTTGTGAGTAGGTTCATGTCAAATCCGGGTGAGAGACATTGGGAAGCCGTGAAGTGGCTATTGAGGTATTTGTTGGGTACTTCAAGTATGGCTCTTTGCTTTAGGAGAAATGGAGTTGTTTTGGAAGGTTTTGTTGATGCCGATTTTGGAGGATGTTATGATTCAAGCAAAAGCACTTCGGGGTATGTGTATACTATTGGTGGTACGGCCATTAGTTGGATGAGCAAGCTCCAAAAGTGTGTCTCCATGTCTACGACGGAAGCCGAGTATGTGGCTATGTCGGAAGCGGGAAAGGAGATGGAATGGTTGAAGGGTTTCCTTGAAGAAATGGGCATGAAACAAGATGTCTGTGCGTTGTATAGTGATACCAAAGTGCGGTTCAATTGGCTAAGAATCCTATGTTTCATTATCGCACTAAACACATCAAGAGGCGTTATCACTATACTAGGAGTTTGGTGAAGGATGGCACGATGTGTTTGAGGAAGATTGCCGGTTCAAAGAATCCGGCGGATATGCTCACTAAAGCTGTTTCTAGTGACAAATTGAGGTTGTGTAGGACCTCAATTGGACTCCATCATTAATTTGAAGGAGTGTTGTGCTATGGTGAAATTGTTTTGATGAATGTATTAAGTGTTCTTGAGGAAGGAGTGTGTATGTGGTAGTCTATGGTGCATGTTTGATCCTATCTCCAAGTGGGAGATTGTTAGGATTAGTGTGGAGATAGATAAATACATGGAGACATAAGGAGATTGCATAGAAGCTGCCTTATTGTTAAGGTTCGACCAAACTTGTGAAAAGTTCGGTCGAACCCGGTTTTAAGTCAGTAGGTGCACCAGTTTACATTTCTAGAGGAGGAGTGACCAAACCCAAGGAGGTTCGACCGAACCACCCCAGGTTCGACCGAACTCTGGGTAGGTTCGGCCGAACCTCCCTGCTCCCTAGTTCGTCGCTTCGTTTTCGGCTTGTGCGATTTGCTTTAATCTTAGCCGTTGGATTGTATTTTCTACCTAGACTATATATACCTTTTCTAAGCCTCTTTGTTGATGATTCACAAACATTTAAACACATAGAGAGGTTTTGAGAGGGTTTGTGAGGAGCATTTGAATTCTATACAATTCATGCTTGTAATTCTTGAGTTCATTCATCATCAATATTACTCCATAGTGCAAGGGTGGGTTTTTTCTCCCGGTTCTCGGGTTTTCCCACGGTAACATTGTCTTCCTTTTACTTGCTTTAATTCCTTCAAAGTTGTTCTTGATTGTTATGCTTGTTTGTTCATTGCTATTGTGGGTTGATTGCAAGTTAGTTGAACACTTTAATCCTTACACAACCCACAGAAGCTTCCAGCCACTTAAGAACCTTAACTTCCCATATAATGGAAGGACTAAGAGAAAATGAATTTAGATTTATTTATTAGTGATCATACAAAGGAGACAAAAGGAGCACACAAAGAATCCAGCATCCCTCACTCTCCTATCTTAGGAATCTGACAAAGTTACAGTTTCAAAGAAAATTAGTAAGTTTCCTTAATTGTCACTGATGAGGTCCCTCCTAGCATGAAAGACTACAAAAAGCTAACACCATATCCTTAACAATATAATACGAGTTTGATGAGCAATAACAAAAAATAATAATAATAATAATAATAATAATAATAATAATAGTAAAAAAAAATAAAATAAATAAATAAAAAAAAAAAAAACAAGGGACAGAGATAGAGACAGGATTCACAATATGTGATTAAAAAAAGGCAGAATATTCATTTCCTAAAGGAAGCACAAAGTGGCTTTGTTGTTATTCTTATGTAGTATAAATTTTTTGATAGTTAAAGTGTAAATTGAAGCATGTACCTTGGCCAAGAATGAACCAAACTCATCAAGCTTCTTTTTCAACGGTGTCGCTTCCTGCAATAAATGGTGTGCATTTATGCATCAACTCCCTTTCAAAATAGTGCATCACACTTTTCCACACAAAGAAAGAAGAAAATTCTCCATAAAAGATGCTTTAAGGCATGCTGTCTTCCATCAAAAAGACTCACATCATCTGTTCTCAACATTGAATCACGTATGCTGCCCATAGCAGTATTAGAGCCAACACCAGTCACAATCGCTCTTCCACGACCAGCAACTACAACTGTACCCTAACAATTTACGTATAGAGATAAGAATAACAAAGAGCATGGTTTACCTCAAAATGGCAATCTATAATAGCAAATATACACAACTAGAATGCTTTTTCATTCTCCCTTTCGGATAAAAATTAAAAAAAATTTATATACATTTTACAATTTTCATTTCATGTTTCACTAATTATACATCTCCATTTCAAGTAAGTTTTACTCTCTTCGTCACAATTCATATTTACCCACTTTACTTTCTCTATAATAACATTCTCTTACGCTTTCACACTTCTGTTTAACAAAAAAGAAGTTTATTTTATTTACTTTAACAACCAGGGGTTCGTCTGGCATCGCTGTGGTTTTCTGTTTTTTTATTTTTTGTTTTTCCAAATCATATGATAGATGTTAATTAATGAATAAAAATTAGTCAAACTTATTAACATCACAATAATTTTTAAAACTGACAACTGAAAAATGGAAACACCTTTTTCTTGTTTCCTGTTTTTGGTTTTTTGTTTTAAAAAAACAGAAAACTAAAAACAAAAAACGATGTCAAACAAGCCATTAGTTGTCCCTTTTTGTTTGCTCCATTGAGGTTTCATAACTTTTTAGATTTTTTGTTATTACTAGTATGGTACAAACTCAAGGGGACAAGCCAAAAGGAAACAAAGCAGGGCAAAGGGAGTATCGATAATATCAGTGCCTAAAGCAATCGTGAAAATTTAAATGGGATACGATTATGAAATAAGCTAAAAAGTGACTGGAAGTGTCGTTCAAAGCAATACATACTTGTCTCATATATTAATTAAAATCATAAAGTGCATTTGACAACATTAGAGGACCAAGTCCGTGTTTGACTCAACATTACTCACATGCATTTGGTAAGAATTACAATACTTCAACGCTTCTTTGGTCAGGACCCACTATTATAATATTATTCTATTATTTCTCTCTCCCACTAACCCTACTTGCACAAATACTTTATTATTTCTCTCCTACCAACCCCAATTACACTACTTTTTATTAATTCTCTCTACTACTAACAATTAAATATCCCCACCAACTATACTCTTTATATTACAATATTCCCTCTTTGGTCCCTACCCTATATTTTTTCTAAAGCTTTGTGCAATGCCTAGTTTTGCAAATATTACGAAACGAAGGGAGTAATAAAATTGGTCACTTAGATTTATGTATTTTTAATATTTAAACCAACAAAGATTTATATTGTCAGGTATTTTACAGGATTATTAATTAGGCAAATGGATGTTACTGAGTTGTGATATTGTGTCATGCGGAATCAAAATAGAAGCCACTTAATAGGTGTTTTGTGCTTTCCTTAAGCCCTTACATTTTTCATCCCTAAATCAAATTTGATTCGATCATCATGGAATCATACTCTCATGTATTTATGACAAGAACCTATGCGTAAACCATGTTCGTTCAAATTGTCCATCTTGGTTGTCTAATCATAAAATCCATGCAATAGATTTCCATATTTCTCTAAAATATTTGGTAGCGACTCCCTACATGTACCTGATTGTTACAAAAGTTAATCCTACGCCAATTATATTCATGTGTGCATACTACACATCAATATTAGGCTCAAATCCAGAAAACTCTAACTAGGATAACCAAAAAAGAGGGTAATGAGCACTACACCACATCCTTCTTGTTTTTACTCCCTCTAAATCTTAGTTCCCTAAGTTATTCCGCAAGAATTTTATTAGCAATCCTAAACCTCACAATGAACAACCTCCTCCAACATGTAAAATGTGTAGCTTAAATCGTTTAGAGAGTACATAATCCCCTCTATACCTCTACATTATATATGACCTTTTTATTGAAATTCTTCTTCCATTACTAGATTATTATAACAAGTACATTAATTACACAAACTTGCATTGGTTTCAAACTTTACACAGATAACATAATGAATGCACATAAGGAACTCATTAAGTGCCAAATTATGAATATGACATTACCGAAAAAAGAATATTTGTTTTGTCTTGATACACAGCATTCACAGCTGAAGTAGCATCAACTTCCTTTTCTACTGAGCAACTCTCACCTGCCAACAACATTTCACCGAAATTATGATGAGAAATTCCAATCAATTATAGATCAACTTACAATGAAAAGAGAAAAGGAGGCTACAAGATTTAAAGATACGATACCATATAATGCCATCCTGAGAAAAAATAAACGGAAGCAGAATGGAACAGCACCTATCACAATTAAAACTCACATATATGTACTCACATTTTTGTAATTAAAATTATACTGGTTACTTTACTTTTAAAAAGTTGATTTACTTTTAAAAAGTTGATCATCTTTACTTTGCACAAATGTAGATTCACAAGCAGGAAAAATCTTCATTGGAACTTAGCTTCCTGCTCTCCTTTGAACACTTTGAGTAATTATAATTTGTAAATCAATGAAATTAGCAAAATTAAATGCAGCAGTTTTTTTTCCTCATATTAACATATAACAGGATCATGACCTTGGGTGAAAAAGAATAGGGAAAGAAAAAAAATTAAAAAGTTCGTAGGCCTTATGAAAGATCAACTTAGAATTCAGGAATTCTACCAGCCATTCAATGACATAATCTGGTCAGTCGATACATTATCAGCAAGCTTACTCACAAGTCACCAGGCCATCTTTGGAACGTCATTGGGAATCATAGCCCAAATTGAACTGTTCCCAAGTTGGGTCAAATGGGGTTCAGAGAGTTTGTAGGCTAGGCTGCTTGGAAAACAGTTCAAAGCACTATACCATGATTTTATTTGGGTTTATATTGGATCATTTTTTATTCCTTGGCCAGGTAGGTCCAGAGAGTGTGTTCATTTGCTGTAGTTATTGAGCACACACTAGTCAGATAGTTAAGCTCCACAATCCTTTGATTAATATAACAAACATATTTATTTCATTTCAATCTTTAGTTCACAAGTACAAGTTATGGAGAATGGTCCCAATAACTAGGGATGGTTATTAAAGAAAAACGGAGAACGGAGAATGGTCCCAATAACTAGGGAATGGTCCCAATATATATTAAAGAAAAAAAAAAAAAAAAACACACACACACACAAGGAGAATGGTCAGTAACCACTAACTAGGGATGGTAACAATGTAACATTCAGTATCAAAGTGACAACCGGTGGAATGAGCAGAATCAATCAAATTACAGATAACTGCCTCACTCAAGACTAATCATTCAAAGAAATTGACCAACACACAGGAACAACAAAATCTAGATACATAAATCCAAACGTACCTGTAAGAATTGCTTGATCGACTCGCAATTGATCACTTAACAATTCAATCATCCGCATATCCGCTGGAACTTTACAACCCACTATTTTTTAATAAAAAAAAATGGAGTTAGTTTAACCAAAAATAAATAAATAAATAAAACATAGAGAACCCAGTAATATGGGATTTCATTTGGAACAGAAAGCACCAACTTACCAGTGACCTCCACAATATCTCCAGGAACAAGCTCTTGTGCAGGTACTATTGAGAAACAACCTGTTGAGCAGCCAACAAGAGTCTAAATCAGATAGCGTTGCATACTAAACACAAACAAAGACAGAACAGCTTGGATAAGTCATCAGCACAAACAAGGAGATGTGCTGACATATTCATGGAAAAATTCAGTATACTACGTTTTCGAAAGAATTCAGTATACTGCGTAATTATTACTTTATATTACCATTTCTGAGAACAGTTGCAACATCTGCTTGGTAAGCTCTTAGCTCCTGCAAAAAATAACATTGAAGAGAATGAGGGGCTAAAAAAATATATTATTAGATACCACATACAACAAGAACACAAACATAAGGCAAATAAATAATTACATCATGAGCAAGAGTCATGAATACAAGAGCTAGGAATAGCAGAAATAGTCATAATGGTTAAAGTTGAATGATAAATCAGTATTCAGCCAATCAACTAACGGGTTTTTCCATAGGCAATATGTATACCATTACTCTCATGCTTTGTGCATGCCATCTCTTTCTAGCCTCTACACAGCCCAAATTTTTGTATACAGATACAGAGCACGGTGCAGTCACTTAACACTTTACAATAAAAAATAAAAAATATAGTGTTGATAAATCATTATTGTGGAACTTGGTAAGCCACACTGATTTAAGCAGGAAAAAGTCTAACAACAAAACCAGATACTTATCTTCAAAAAAGGAGCCTAAATCAATATTTTAAACCACAATAGAAGCTATTAAATGAGTAAAAGAAACACTACACAATACAAATTTGACATATAATGAAGAACAGCTTCTCTGCCACAAGACCACAACTTCATGAAGATTTTCAAAAATAAATTATCAATCATCATCAATATTTATCTATACATAATAAATCATGTGAAAAAAGAAGATGCTGAAAAAAGAGGTGTCACATCTGAAAGCAAACGCAGTTTAAATTGAACAAATTTTACCTCGATAGCTTTTTCAGCATTTGTCTCTGTAATAACACCTACTGCAGCATTTGCAGCCAATATCAAGAGAATAACCTGCAAATAGTGATAATTAACATAAACATTGAAAAAGAGGCAACAAGGAAAGAAAGAAATAAAGATCACAGACCCGCGGATGCAGCCTAAAACAACAGTCTTGTACCCACCATTCCCAATTTGTTCTTCCCTTTGAATTCATACAACTATTTATTTTTTAACTCTTTTCTAAAACCCCTGCAAATTAAAATCCTTGCAAAGTGATGAACCTGAATAGATTGACCTTTACCCAATTACTTGACTAGAATTAGCCAAAACCAAAAGAATCGCATTAAAACATGGAGACCAATTTTAAAATAATTCTAATTCACAAGACCCAATATAAAATTCAATGAACTACTTCCTAAAAATTGAAATGAACAAAAAAAAAAATAAAAAAAATAAAAAAATAAAAACTAAATAGAATATTTATCAACTCCTTTCGATTAACTCAATTGGTTCAAATTATCCCCCATTCAGAACAATCCTTGTTGCCAGGAATAACTATCAATGTTTTCATATTGAACTCCAGCCTTCATCAAGCAATAATAGATTCTTACAATATAATGTGTCAAGGTCTTAGTTATGGTTCCCCCGGATTGCAAAAAACTCCATCTATAACGCTTCCCATAATCAATTTAATTGGTCTAGGACCCCCTGCTAAGGTTTAAGCCTTTCCTGGACGTCTTATCTAGAAAGACATGACACTAAAGACAGTTTACAAGAGATACTATGTGGGTAATAGACATGGTGTCACTGATTCCTGAACAATACTAGGATAATAGCATTCCAACAGATAGTTTTAAAATTTATTTAATAGATGGGTTGCATTAGCAAACCTATTTTGGCATTAGCGAATCATTTATGTTCTTGTTAGAAGAACGGAAAAGAAAGTTATCGTACCTGTCGACATGTTTAACCATCTAGTTGGTTCTGTGGTTGGAAAGAAAAATAACATAACAATTGGAAATTGAGTTCTCTAAACACAATCTTTTCAGGGTAATTCTCCTAGCATCACTGGATTTTCTATGGGGTTATTTAAGGATGCCCAGCCTAAAAGACAAGCAATCTTTAAGAGGATTCCTGATTCTCCTTTGATGTACTCTCAGTTTACAAGAACAATTTGTTTTCCTTATGTGCAGAAGAGTCAAGCTCTCATATATAATAGTATACATATTCCAAGTATGCAAAATATTCATGATTCTGAATCAATGAAATCTAGTCAAGGCGGCCAGTTATTCACGGATTAATCAAACTCAGTCCACTTGGAGTTCATATCACAATCCGAAATGTATGCAATTGCACTAAGATTTACTGAAGCTCCAATTTTGGTGAATGGTATTTTCATTATTTACACTTCAGTGACACAATGTAATTACGGTAGGTACACTTTGGTAACACCATTAACTCCGTTAACCCTTTTATTTAAGTGGTTAAATGTGTGTCTTAAGCTGCTCTGTAGATAAGTGTCATATGTCCTATAGAGATGAATATCACCTACCAAAGTCCAAAAAATCAAACCCAAAAACTATCCCACGCTATGTGAATGATAAAAAAAAGAAGAAACAAATGGACAAGGAAAATTTTAGTAGGGTTTGGGGAAGGTTTTTGGGATCTTAGGTAGGTGACTTTAACCCGAGATATATCATTTATTTACTGAGTTATTCAACACAAACGGTCTAATTACTTGCACAGTTGGTCACCAAACTGAAACAAAATATTAAAGTGAGGTAACCAAGATAGGAATATTCAAACCACATGTCACCAAAGAGGAATTTTACTTATCCTCTCATCCTCTCCTACCTTTTAATAAGTCGTTTTGCATTCTACAGATTATATTGCCTAATTACAAAGCCAGAAAATCCACATGGTCCTAATACTATTATAAATTGATACCATGAAATACATTCTCCAGATTATCTAATCAATGTTAATGACTACTTGTCCACATTATGTGCGCAGATTCCACTGAAAACAAGCCCTTGTGGTGAACACTAATAAGAATCCATCTCAACCATTAGATACACACGTATCAAATCTCAGCCCTTCATTTAAGTTGCCTGGAAATAAAGGGAACAAAACCACATACGTTCACGGCCTTCATGCTAAACATTCCAATAGATCCTCATCACTCTTTCTCTCCTCCCCAGACCACAGGTTATTTTTTATTTCACATCGCCATCATCGAGTCTTTAGGGCCTTAGAAACCCAATTTGCTTCTCTCTCCTCCCTCAACCCTCCTCTAATGGCAAAAATAAGTAGATTAATCTTCAGGTGGCATCTCCAATGATAATAGCAAAATTGATGATGATCCAGGGGGAGGGGGATTGTTTATGGCTTCGTTGCTCGCTATTTTTTTTTTTTCTCTTGCAAGTAGAACAAAAATTTCCAACATGGTACTTTATTAAAAGCTCTCGCTATTTTTTTGTTTATGTCTTTGTTGAATGTCTATTCTACTATTCAATGTGCTTCAATTGTAACTGTTATAATTTTTGCACTTCAATTCACTATTTAATTGATTGTCTTTTGTTCCTTTTTATAAATTTGCCGATATGGTACTCTATAAAAATCATAATTAAAAATTGTAGTACTTTTTAAAAAAAAAAATATCATCTCAATGAAAATCAACATTAAATGCTATGTATATGATTCCTCTATTTAAACTACAAGTACCCATTTAATAATATACAATACCCACTTTGTACCCTACTTGTGAAATGGTATACAATATCCAAACAGTCTCTCTCTCTCTAGGTTTTTATTTTTTTTGGTCGTTTAGGTGAACTAGAATATTTCCAACCTTTTTCCTTCGTTTTTTCTTTAATTTTTCGTTCTTTATTTCAATAAATCTACAAACTCAGTATAGATGTTGCCCCTATGGTGTTGTTAATTATTGGTTAAAGTTGTTTGTTTGTTTGCCCTTTGGCAATTATTGTGTATTAGAGTAAACCAATTAATTTATCACCTTTTGCCCTAAAATCACTTTGTTTGAAAGGATTTGTCCAAGGTGACAATGTGGTTGTCAAATTTTCATTTTGTACAAATCAATCCGATCAATAAAACTTACGGCCACAACAAATCATTAAAATTGTCTCTATGAAAAGGCTATATTTCGGCAATGTGTGTGAGGAAGTACCATAGTGCAAGCTCTAAACAATCATAGGTTTGATTAAGGAAACCTTTGCATGATTCAATATTATATGAATTTGTTAAAATTAGATTTCATTTGTAGATGTCGCATGGCTTTATATAAATGAATTGATTTAATACAAAAATTGAATTTAAAAATACAGCTTCCTCTTACCGAAGGTTCCAAAAATGCAGTTAAGCCTGTATCTCCGTTAATTAAAGCCAAAAGAAATGAAACAAGGGCAGCCACGATCAGTATCTTCACAAGCAAATCATCAAACTGCTTTATGACCAACTTCCAGAACGGAGTACCTGCGATGAGAAATAACGCATAGCTTTAATAAGAATTATCATTTGCTCTAAGAATCAAAGTGTCCTATGAAGATGCAAGAGATTATGGATTTAGAGAGAGAGAGAGAGGGTGTGCATTAGGAGAAGAGAGATAGCATGTATCAACATAGTTATTGGTACCAACAAATTTAGGGGTACATTTTGTGAACCTGCAATTATAAGATAGTGTGTATCAACATAGTTATTGATAGCGTGTATCAATTATTATTTGTTGTCAAATATTCAAGAGGTAGTCCAATATTCTTTTACGCATTACGCTTTGTTTACTTCAACCTAAAAAAGGTGTTCTAGTTTGACTTTAAGGTCAATCAATCAGTCTAGTGTGGTCCAACTAAGCTTTGGTTTTGATTTTACACCTATATAAGATAAACCTTTGTCATGTGAGATCTTGTTTGATTCATCTTTGTTTGTACATTCCAAATACCTATTTTTTATAATATTTACTACTATGGAATTATAGATACTCCCTCCGTTCTTCTATGTTCTACTTGATTAAATAGACGCAATTAAAAATAATATTAAAAAATGGAAGTAGGTATACGATAAAAGTAAGATAAAGTAAGAAAGAGAAAGTCAAAAGGTAAATGGATTAAAGAAAAGGTGATCAAAGTAAGAAAGAGGATGTGGAAAGGTGTAATTAAGATGGGGTAAAAGGGTAAGGTCATAACGGGGGGTACACCTAAAACTGAATAAAGCAAAGTAAGTTAAGCAAAAAAGAACAGACCAAAATGAAAAGTAGAACGAAAGAGAATGGACCAAAATGGAAAGTGAGTTGGACAAAAAAAGAACGGTGTAATAAGTAAACAAAAAAAGAAAGTAATTTTGGTCTAGCTTGCCTGCTTTGCATTGAATTTAACTAAAATAAGGTTAAAGGGAATGAAGCTTTAGTATGACTCGCTAGATATAAGCCAATTGAACAAACTCTATATTTGATAAAAGGGGTACAAGGCGTACAATAGTTAAATTGTGCCAATTAGTTAAAGGTTATATGTTGTAACTTTTAAGAGAAGTGATTTATATTGCTTAATTAGTTTTAATGCATAAATGTTAATTAATTTTTTTTATAATCCAATATAAACCAAAGTCCAATGAGCTATTTTAAGGACTATAAAAATTAGGTTAATGACACATACTTCCCCTGTGTTTCTTTTTATACCTGACAATAGTCCCATGGCACACAATTTAAGAAAGAAATTAGAGAAGATAAACGGTTTCTCTAATACAAAAAAAATATAACCACCAATAAAAGGAATAATTTGAGGTTTTATGGTATTAGTTTACTTTTATTTAGTGTATGTTCATTTTCTTTAATCTCTTCCTTAAGTTGCGTGTCAAAGGGCTATAGATCAAGTATATAAAAATAGAGGAAGTAGTATTTTGCAGTACATATGTACATTATACGGGAAAAATTGGTTGAAATAGTGGTAATTGTTAAAATTATTGTCATCTACGTTATTTTCCAAAAATCCTGCAATTCAAAAACTAAATCGTCAGACTCTGTCCTTAAACATCAAACCTTTAAGCCGCTCAAGAGTCCTCTTTTTAGTAAAGTAACTCTTCTAATCAGCCTAACACTTATTTTGCTAAACAATAAATCTTTCAACAACACATTATTCTAGCACAATATCACAGCCAGTAGACCAGCAGTAAATCATCACCTTCAGAATAGTTCTTGTTCTTGTTACCAACCGCCAAAAGCATCACAAGAATAAGAATTTACAACTTATACATTTTCTCCATAACTAATAATAACGCATCAAAATTTAGACCTACTGCCACCCCATTATAGTGTTGTACCTTCATCAAGCAAATTTAATAAAAACATTACGACAGTACTGAAGATGCATATAACCATGGATTACGTTGGCCATTCACTAACAGAACCATCAGACAGTCAATAATTCTTTTTTTTTTTATATACTAATCTTTGACATTTTATCTTCTTTTTTTATAGTGAGTTGGCAACCTTCTCAACAACTTTCATATAAACAATGCTTTTCATAAGTGAAAAAGTAAATATGGACAAAGTGAAGGGGAAACAGCAGCAACAATAGTACCAATATGGATCTCTCTAATATTAATGTAAGAATAAGGAGGGTTTAGATATGAACTTACTCTTCTCTTGCGGTAGCACTGAGATGGTTCAAGAAGCCAGAAGCCCAAAAATTCCAGCATAGTATTTACAAGAGGAAAAAGGATTCATGCATTAGAAAGCAAATAAAGAATACAATATTGAAGATCAGACATACAAAAACAAATCTAGATAATCAAATAGTATTAAAGAGCATTTAAAATGTGAAGCATATTTAAATTGGGTGCACATATGTGGTCTTGTAGAAAAGAACCATTTATATGATGCATACCAATAGCTGATAAAAAGGTTGAAATTTGAAAATAGAGCTGTCAAAAAACCGACTCAACCCGATAAATTAACACGAAACCGCCTGTTTGAAACGGAGAAAATGGTGACTCGAAACCGATAACCTGAGCTAAAATCAACCCGAAACCCAAGTTGTTGAAACCCAAATTCAATTTGACTTGTTACTGACCCGACCCAAATTCTACTCAGCCTGTTACCGACCCGATTCAAATTCAGCTTAACCTATTATTAACCTGACTCAAATTCAACTCGACATTTCCCTATGTGACCCGACTTGTATACACCTCAACTTGAGTTCAACTTAGATTTATTTTATATAGTTACATACTTATTACTTACATGCATGCTCCTTTCTAAATGTTTCCTACTAAGAGAAGTATATCGTTCTCCAAACAACACTATATGAAATTGTACATGACTCAAAATGACACAAACCGGAACCTGATAATGAATTGACCTAAACTTGACCTAATCTAAACTTAACTCGATCTGATAATGTACCAACCCAAATTAACCTGAATCCGATGATGACCTGACCTACTATAAACTCGTATCAAACCCGATGATGACCTGACCTACTATAAACCCGTATCAAACCCCATGATGACCTGACCAACTATAAACCCGTATCAAACCTAAACAAAGTGAACCTAAACCCAAATTGAACCAACCTTACCCGACCAAACCCGAGAAGATGCATCAGTTGACATGACCCAACTCTAACATGACTAGGGGTGAACATGGTCTGGTGTGGTGCGGTTTGAGTCGAAACCAAACCAAACCACAAAATACGGTTTGGTCAATTTTTCAAACCAAACCAAACCATATTAGTATTGAAACCGAACCAAACCAAACCGTAATAATACGGTTTGGTGCGGTTTGGTTTGCGATTTATGATGAGACGACATTTTTCCCTTAAAAATTGTCAAATAATACTTCACTAATTATAATAAAGTTTAAATAATTATCCCAAAAGGATTAAATTGTACTTCAAAGTTACAATAAAAATAACAATCAACTAATCAAGTGCTAACACATAATAAAAATAATACATAACAATCATAAATTTATAATACATTTGTAAAAAAAAAAAAAATCATACTACATTATGAGATTATGAGAATCGTGAGCAGCGAGCTGGAAGTATGGGTGGGAGTGCTGCGGAGTATAAGAGCACATTAGAGTAGGCGAAAGGAGGCTAGTAGTCTATGAACAACACCACAGCAGCCAAGCAGTAGTAGCGATTAGCGAAGAAGAAAGAGGCGAAGGGGTTTTATGGGATGAGAGGTGGGAGGCTGAGAGCAAAATATGACCTATTGAGTACTGACCGTATAGTCGTATTTTGATTTTTAATTTTTTTTTTTAAATTTTTTTTTAATTTATTTTTTATAATATATAATAACTAATTTTTTTATTTGAAAATTATATAAATATTAAAATACGGTTTATTGGTTTATGCTTTGGTTTGGTTTATAATTTTTGAAAAACCAAACCAAACCGTAAATCGTATTTACAAAAAATTCGAAACCAAACCGCTAAAATACTGTTTGGTTTGGTTTGGTTACGGTTTAGACCAAACTGTGTACAGCCCTAAACACGACCCAACAACCCAATCCGCATGAACTAGACCATCAACCCAACCCAATATGACCCGACCCGAGATGACCTAACGTGCATTAACCTAATCGAACACCCAATTTAATAGCACTATTTGATTAGACAAGAGCTAAATTGATCTTTAAGGTGAAATTGCAATGGCATGAAACTGTATTAATGGACGTTCTCATATTAAGGACAAAATGGATCAATATTTATTCCCTTAACAACTAAGGGCGAGGATTCTTTTCTATTATTCATTATTACACAAGCTTTTGGTTAGAATGAAAATCATGAGTTAGGAAATGGATAGGAAAATACACTTTAATAATCCCAACTATTGCCAATTTACTTCTAATAATCCCAACTGAGGTTTATTTTTTAATAATCCTAACTATGCCCAGTTTTTGCCTCCAATAGTCTCAACCAGTCAACCCAAGTCAATGACATGTTGTAATAGGTATCCAATACACGTATCAGCACGTGATTGGTCTATAATTAAAAAAAAGGATGAAAAAAAAAAACTAAAAACCCTAAAAGCCACCACCCCTCCCCTCCCGCCACCGCAAAACGCCACGACCAACCCCCATCTCTTCAGAAAACGGCCGGTCGTCTCCCCTATCCCTCGAAAATGGCCGACCGGCCACTCCCAACCCCAATATCACCCTAGTCGGCCCACTCCAACCCCCAAACCACTTACTCTCCCTCGAAACTAACCTCCCCACCGTCAAAAACGACCCTCCTCCCTTCCCCAACCCTCAAATTCGGCCCACTGGGCGGTTTCGAGGGTGTGGGAGGGCTAGAAGAGCGGCCCTTTTTTTGTTTTAGTTTTGCGGCGAAGGGAGAGGGAAGGGAGGAGAGTGGTTTAGGGGGTGATGGTGGATCGGCTGTGTGTGCTGGGGGGTTGGGAGGGCCGGCCGGCCATTTTTGGGTGGTTAGGGAGGTAACCGGCCGGTTTTCACGGTGAGGATTGGCTGGAATTTCACGGTGGGGGTTGGCTAGGATTTCACGGTGGAGGTGGCTGGGATTGTTTTCTGTTTGTTTTTTTTTTTTTAATATTAGGCCAATCATGTGCCCTATTCACACGTTACCAGTTTTTGGGACTATTGAAGGCAAACACGGGGCATAATTAGGATTATTAAAAAATAAACCTTACTTGGGATTATTAGAAGTAAATCGGCAATAGTTGAGATTATTAAAGTGTATTTTTCCTATTAATAATTCCAACTTTGCACAACATTTTTTTAATAATCCCAACTTTGGATTATTCTAGAATAATCCAACTTTGGGGATGTTTACTTTCTTCATTTCCAAACCGGTCAACAAAAGTCAATGACCTATTATAACAGGTTAAATGAAACGTGTCACGCTAAGATTGGTCTAATTAAATTAACAAAAATTTAAAAAAAAATAAGAAGAAGAAGAAAAATTTTAAAATACCAACAGCCCCTCCACCACCATCTCCACCCTCACCCTTACTCCAACCCAACCACCACCATCTCCACCCTAACCCTACACCACACCAACCTCACAAACAGCAACAACACCATAGCCTATAACTCCACCTATAACTCCACCTAACAGCCACCAAACACCACCGCCGGCTCCCAATCTCACCAATAACCACCAACCACCTTCGCACAACCCGCCACCTCAACCCAACCAACTCGTAACAACAACACCCTCACTCCTAGCACCAACCACCAAATGCCACCGATCACCGCCAGCTCGCAACAACTTCAACCACCGTGGTTTCGGGAGTGGGCCAGTTTCGGGGAATGGGAGGGGTTCATTTAAGGGGTTGCGGTTACCGATGTGAGGGAGAGAGGGAATGGGGGCTGTCGGCCGGCGTCACGGATTGGGTGGCCGGATTGTTTGAGAGTCAGAATCGTGAAGAGGGTTGGGGTTGGCTAGTTTTTTTTTAAATTATGTTTTTTTTTTTGTACTAATCAACTTGTGACACATGTTTTTATAAAAAATTTTAAAAAAAAAAAAAATTTACCCATTCAACCGGTCACCGGTTTTTGGGATTGAAGAAAGAAAACAACCCCTAAAGTTCAGATTATTCCAACATAATCCAAAGTTGGGATTATTAAAAGAAAATCGGGTGAAGTTGGGATTACTAAACTAATTTTTCCTTAAATTAAATACTTTGTACTACCTCGATTTCTAAGTGTTCTTAACACTTTCTCCGATAGTTTGTTCCTTAAAGTTCTTTACACTTTGCTTTGTTCTATTTTTGCCAAACCTAGTTCACTACTGAACCCCTTTACCCACAATATTTACACTTTTGTACTCACTCTCACTTACTTTTTCCACTTGTGTTTTATACCCATAACATTTTTTAAACTCTCTCTTGCATTATCCACGTTATTATTACACTTACCACATAAACACTCTCACTAATTGTATAAATGCCCATAAAAATTGCAATCTTCAAAAATTGGGAACAGAGGTATTACTAATTTTCGAATTTATTCGTTATTAATTTTAGAAAATAAACTAAAAATTTTAAACTAAGTTATTTCACACACAATAAACTCACCTATTAAAGTAAGTTACAGAACAACATAATAAAAATTAAATATATTCTAACACTTTTTTTCTTTTTTGGTTCTACTCATTTTCCAATTATGTTTGCTAAAATCTAAAGGGGACTGCCAGTGTCTTCCAACATATTGCAAGAACAGCTGACTCTTATCTCATCACAAGCAAAAGTACACACTGCGAAAACAACACCATTCTAGGCCTCTACTACACCTGCAATATCTAACAAAACCTCATATCTATCAAATAACTTGAAGCCTTGATTTTTTATTAAATTAATATGAAGTATAACAGAGCTTTTCTCATCTTTAATGCTTCTAGTAGGTAGCTTTAGAAGTATAAATAAAACAAATATTCTTTCCTTAATACTTTGCTGACAAAATAGGTTCAAGAATCTTTAGGAGTTTGGAGAGTTCCCTGAAACTCCCACTCAAAAGAATTCATTATAATTTGAAAGTTCTACGCAATAACTTAATCATCACAGAGGCTTTATAACCATTGCTTAGTGCAAATTTTTTAATCAAAAAGCAACCTTTATTAAAAATCCTACATTAATGCATCTTTTGATTTCGAACTACCATAGCTCTGAATAAATAACCTTGCGGTGTTCTAGACAAATACCTAAGAAGATCAATGAAAGTCTTAACATAAGGGTAAAATGTCATCATAAGAACTGAGCTCTAAGTAAAGCCTCATTCACATTTAAGCCACATGCTAATACAGAACTGATTTATCACAAAATTGCATAGCTTAAAGCTAAATTTACCGTTTTGGCCGTACATCCTTCTATGATCGGCTACCTGCAAAAACAAACCCCTAAGGCTTAACAAACAACACTAAAGAAATAAAAAAGCAATTCCAATTAAATGTTATTCAAGATAACACCACAATAACCGACAAATATTTTACACTGTGTTACAAAAATTGAATTAATATAATTGCAACAAAATTCAAATTAAAAATGCAATGTGATTGAGGAGTGCAAATACCTGAGAATCAATAAGACCTTTTGATGGGTCGACTGCAAAGAAGGCTAGAACCTAAAATCACAAACAAATACCATTAATTTAAATCAAACAAAAGATCAAACACTTCAAAAAAAAAAAAATAGTATCGATTTACCTCAGTAGCAGTTCTAGTATATGCATCCTCCATGAAATCGATCCCAATAGCAGAGATTTCTCTGCTAAATTCTTTATCTCTCCTCAATCTCAGTGCTCAACAATGTAACTGTTGCACGATTTGATGATTTGAGGTACAACAGAGGTTTAATTAATTAAAGGTTTGATTAAATGCGAAATCGAGAGAAAGTTATCGTTCAAATTAAGCAATAATAAAGCATTGAAAAGTGGCAGAATTGTAATGATAAAGATAGTATAGAAGAGTAAATCAATGAAAGTGTGGAATAAACCCTAGATTGTGAGATTGATATTTGATAATTGAAAAAAGTATCTCGCCTCAGAAGGTGCTTCAATGGAGGAGAGAAAGCTCACGAATCATAAGCTGATGTAAGCTTTGAAGCTAATTTTCATTTTAGTTCAATGGTTTGCTATAGCTTATTGTTTAAATGGATCACACCTCCTTAATTTATGGTGATAAATTTCATTTTATTTATTCAATTTTGTTTTATTTTAGTAAGTTTTTTTCCAAGCAAATTAACTTGACGCTTGGTGAAGTTAATTGCATTTTCTAACTCCAAGGATTAGGTTAGTAGCTAGGGATTATTTAATATTGCAAGCAAGTCCCTATTTACAATCATTGGAGTTGCTCTTATACACGTGAAAAAGCTCCAAGGTGGGGAAAATTAGGCTGAGAAACAAAATGGAGTAAATCAGGTGGCATTTTTGTTACTCCGTATTATTTGCATTTGGGATGTAAAATATGAAGTATTCATACAATACTCCCTCCGGTTTTTTTTATTTGAATCACTTCCCTATTATGGGTGTTTTTTTTAAATGCATCACTTCTATATTTGGTAACTTTACATTATATTTTATCATTTCTCTCTCTTATTTTAAACTCACTCAAATTATTTTATCATTTTTCTTTTCCATGGTCCCACCGAAATAAATAAAAATATCTATTATCTCTCACATACTTTCTCTTTCATGGTCCCCATCTTACTTTTACTATAATAATTTATTCACCCACTCACAATATTATATTACTCTCCTAAAACTCCGTGCATTCCCAAGTGATGCAAATAAAAAAAAATAAAAAATAAAAAATAAAAACGGTAAATTTATGAGTTACTCAGATCCGTTTTTGGTTTTTTGTTTTCAAAAAAACAGAAAATTGAAAACCAAAAACGATGTCAAACAAACCCGAATGAAGTTAACGAAGTTGCAGTTGCGGATGTTAGTAATGTTGTTTGGTGTTTGTCAAAGATAAAAGAATTACTGGTTTCTAGAACAAATCTGTTTGAAAAGAGAAGAGAATTAAGAAAGAGATGCCCACGGGAGCCGAAAGCACCATATGAGTTACTCAGATCCGTTATCATTCATCATTATCTCCGGCCACACTAGTCAACATCTGTAGACATCTAAAAATGTCTCCCCAAAAACAAACCTGATGATGAACAATCTTTCACCATATTATTGGTCGGGTCGAGAATTTAATCTCGAGAGCGCTTAAAAGCCATTTTCAATCCAACACAGTTTACAAATCAATCCGCAGATCAGTCCAAGTATTTAGTCAAAGCATTGTCCAATCTTTCATTTTAGCTCAAGCCATTTTAATCTATCTAATTTATTTATTAATTGAGCCCGATTAATAAATATTAAAACCCTAATGAGTCTAGAATAACAGAAATGACGCCTATTTATCACGTACTTTATGTAAAATATAAGATTAAAATGAATTTTAAACAGATTTTCAGAAAAACTATCTGTTGTGCCACGTCAATTTGTTTTACCCGCTTTTATCTTTTTACGCGTTTTGACCTTCAGAAATGATAGTTTTGACTGTCGAGCCACGGCATAAATCCATACCACCGCAGGTTACACTGTGCCAAGACAGATATGTCGTACAACAGCGTTTATTCTGTTGCGACACCTCATTTCGGGGGTTTCGGACTGCTCCCCTCACATTTCCTCTATAAATACGAGGCTGATTTTACAGTTTTGAGGCACCAATTGATACTCTCTTTCTCTCTTATGTCGAGCCTAAATACTTGTCTTCCCAATTTCACAATTCATCCCTAAGCACTCCAAGGAGTCCATACTTTACCCGAAATTCAATACTTAAACCAAGGCGTGAAAGATAGAACTGTTTGAGGGTTTGGCCCCAAATCAACTCTATTTTCATTTAATTTAATTTCCATTGTTGTTCATTAATTTTCCTTGAAATTACTAACGTGTTTATTGTTTTATATTTGCAAGCAAACTCAATCAAAGTAAGAATTCATGTTCCTTTTGTTCCTATTATATTTCTAACGATTTTTTTGATTGTCATGTATAAACTGTTAGATTTATTATGGTTAAATTGCTTCCAATGTTATTGTTATTCTATTGTTATTGTTGATCACTGTATTGCATGTCTAAAGGGAGTATGTAATTAAATATAACGCCTAAATAAGATAATTTGGACAACCGGTTAGGATCCTTTTTAATCTTGTATTTAATTGAAGTGATCACTAATATTTAGAATTATGTGTTGACATTCAACCAATTTAGCCTAATATTAGTTTGGAGCAAATTAAATCTTTGTTTGCATGCCTTTGAGATCGCAAAGTACTTTTCACAATAAGAATCGAGTAGAGGCCAATATGGGCGAATGTGACTCCATGACTCACTTCATACCATCATCCCCGATCCTCCTTTTGTGGTTCCGAACCATATGGAGTTAGTAGTCTCATGAATTATGAATGGGGTGTAACCTTCACGGGTCAATCTTTGTTGCCTATCGTTGTCCCTTATTCGTGGTTGCCTTAAATGATCCGTGAACGATTTACAAGTTCCTTAAAAACTTGTTGGCGGCTCCCTACTTTCCTTGTCCCTAATTGTATATGTGAAATCCTACTTCCTATGATTGCCAAGCATATTCACACATGCTTAATTAGGCGTGCTTCATTCGACCCCTACAACACCAATTGTCATTTGCTACACTTATGCCTCGGCCACACTAGTCGAGTCCAACTGTCATTTGTTACACTTATGCCAAAATGTCACTGAAATAAGATGCATTTGGCAACTAGCATGACCCCTTGAAATCTTCAAATCTTCAAGAGTCTTCATCTTGGCTCGTCTTCATAGAAACGCCATCTTGAGACATCTTCGCCAAAATAAAATTACTAGCTACTACGACTAGGATTAATCTAAATATTAAAGTACAAAAATACGCAACGGTACGCAGACTGTATTTAGATTTACAAAAATACATAACGGATCGCAGTCCGTATTTACTATCCAAATCAGGCCACACTAATTGCCATTTTCACGAAACCTGTGAAACAATATATCTTCCATTCATCCATTCACTGTATGTGAATGGCCCATGCATTTTACAAATAAAAACAAGTAACAATGCATAACACGCGCGAACTAGTAACTAACTTAGGTGGTGAATCCAATTGTGGTGCCAAACTTCCTTGATTCTTGATCCAAACCAATGCACCAAAGTATATCAAGTTATGTACCTAGAAAAAGGCACACAAAAATTTCCATGAGAGAAAATCTATTCTAAAAAGAAAAGAAAATGAAAGCAATAAAACACGGGTTACTTCCCGAGAAAGGCTTGCTTAAGGTCCAAGCTTGACCGCTCTAGTAAATAATATTGCAACGATCGCAAGAGCTTGTCAAATGCACTACTACACATCTCATAAGATAACAAGTAAGCAAATGATATAAGAAGGGCATGCACCAAGATTAGTGCACGCAAAAGAAGGTGAAGAGGGAGTTGCCAAGAAGAAGAAGAATCAAAAGAAAATTCAAGAAAATAAGAAGAAGAATAGAAAGGCAAACTCTCTTTACAAAAATATTTTTGGGTGGCAAAATCACCCTTTTCCTCAATAGAAGACGAATGAGGGACATGAAAATCTTCATAGGTAAGGGGTTCCCCAATAGGCTCATTAACAAAGGAAGGAAGGGATGTAGGAGTGTAGGGGATATGGTTGAAATTCCTAGAAAAAGGGACATGAGAGAAGGGGATAGGAGCAATGGTCTCACAAATGGTCTCTTCTTCACCACCATCCCTCAAATCACCAATTTGAGCATGAAAATCAATCATAGAATCCTCAAAAGAAGAACACTCATGATCATGATCTCCCTCAAACATCCAACTTCCAAGAGGAACTGAATAATCCCCTTCACTACAATCATGAACAACAACTCCCTCAACTTCCTTAAAGCCTAAAATCTCAAAGCCATGCATGAATGGATGCAAATTCATTTCAAAATCATCTCTCTCCCATGAAGCATTCTTAATGAACTCACTCAAAAGGATATGGGTTTTCATTTGACACTCAATAAACACATTAGACATAACCTCAAATGAATCCAAATACTCATGGATAAAAGGATCACAATCATGCACTTGAGACTCATCAAGATGGTAAAGAGGGTTAGGATTTTCAAAATCAACACTCTCTTCATTCTCAACTCCTTCACCATCACTCATATGCTCACCAATGGGATCCTCACACTCTCTTGGTTGCTCAAAATCATCATCATCATCCTCAACACACACATTAAATTGGGATTTTTCACAAACAAGCATCAAGGGTGACAATTGGCTTTCTAACTCTTCTTTTCTTCTCCTTCCCTCCTCAAGACGCTCCTCATTCTTTTTCATTATCTCTAATTGACCTCTCATAGAATTAAGAATCATTTCCTTACTAGGCTCAAGCTCATTATCAAGCTCAATGCACCTAATTTGAGATTCAAAAGTAGCAATAAGGGATTCAAAAGGTGTTGAAGGTTGAGGCTCAACAAGAGAAGAAGAAGTACAACCAAGATTGGAAAAATCAACATTAAGATCATGAGCATATACATCACATTGGGGAGTGGGGGCACAATCAAACACATGAGATTCATCATTAAGGGAACGAAGCACATCACAAGAAGGCATGGTAAATAATGAAGAATATTGAAACACACCATTAGCATCAACTTGAGGATGTACCTCATCATCATGAACAAAAGAGGAAATAGAGTTGAAATCATGTGTTTTAGGTTCACTTAAGGGATCATGTAACAAATCATGGGAATTCATGCTAATATTAGAAGTATCAACACATTGCATATCAATAATAGAATCATGATTACCCTTATTATAGACATCCCAAGCAAACCAAACATAAAAATCCCAAGCATCATCAATTGATAATGCTCTAAATTCACCATTATGCATGCATTCAACTTCATCCCTAGTTTGCTCATTCAAACCAAAATAACAAATCTCACAAGCCTCCCAAAGACTACAACAATCAAAATCCAAATATCCCTCAAGTCTATTAAAATATTCACAAAAAGGCTCATTGTCATATTGAGGAAACGAGTTACTTGCCATTTTTTTACAAAAACAAGAAAAAATAAAAAAAAAATAAAAAGAA